CTTGTGGGCTTACTCCTTGTGGCTACTAGGGGTTAGAGCTTGTGGGCTTACTCCTTGTGGCTACTAGGGGTTAGCTTGTGGGCTTACTCCTTGTGGCTACTAGGGGTTAGAGCTTGTGGGCTTACTCATTGTGGCTACTAGGGGTTATAGCTTGTGGCCTTACTCCTTGTGGCTACTAGGGGTTAGCTTGTGGGCTTACTCATTGTGGCTACTAGGGGTTAGAGCTTGTGGGCTTACTCCTTGTGGCTACTAGGGGTTAGAGCTTGTGGGCTTACTCATTGTGGCTACTAGGGGTTAGAGCTTGTGGGCTTACTCCTTGTGGCTACTAGGGGTTAGAGCTTGTGGGTTTACTCATTGTGGCTACTAGGGGTTAGAGCTTGTGGGCTTACTCCTTGTGGCTACTAGGGTTAGAGCTTGTGGGCTTACTCATTGTGGCTACTAGGGGTTAGAGCTTGTGGGCGTACTTATTGTGGCTACTAGGGGTTAGAGCTTGTGGGCTTACTCATTGTGGCTACTAGGGGTTAGCTTGTGGGCTTACTCATTGTGGCTACTAGGGGTTAGCTTGTGGGCTTACTCCTTGTGGCTACTAGGGGTTAGAGCTTGTGGGCTTACTCATTGTGGCTACTAGGGGTTAGAGCTTGTGGGCTTACTCCTTGTGGCTACTAGGGGTTAGAGCTTGTGGGCTTACTCATTGTGGCTACTAGGGGTTAGCTTGTGGGCTTACTCATTGTGGCTACTAGGGGTTAGAGCTTGTGGGCTTACTCCGTGTGGCTACTAGGGGTTTGAGCTTGTGGGCTTACTCCTTGTGGCTACTAGGGGTTAGAACTTGTGGGCTTACTCATTGTGGCTACTAGGGGTTAGAGCTTGTGGGCTTACTCCTTGTGGCTACTAGGGGTTAGAGCTTGTGGGCTTACTCCTTGTGGCTACTAGGGGTTAGAGCTTGTGGGCTTACTCATTGTGGCTACTAGGGGTTAGAGCTTGTGGGCTTACTCCTTGTGGCTACTAGGGGTTAGAGCTTGTAGGCTTACTCATTGTGGCTACTAGGGGTTAGAGCTTGTGGGCTTACTCCTTGTGGCTACTCCGGGTTAGAGCTTGTGGGCTTACTCCTTGTGGCTACTAGGGGTTAGGTTGTGGGCCCTGATCTAGATGACAACAATCGTTTGGAGGGAGGAGGGTTAGGTTTGTTGGTGTGTGCCAGAGCCAGATTTGTGTAACTCTATCCGGAATCAGAATCTTAATTTATCTTGGAGAAATCTGATGAGCTATGGAGCAATTTCCCCCTCCCACAGATGTTCTATATTCAATAAATTAATCAATGTTTATTGGTCGCATACACAGTGAAGCTAAAGTTATAGCGGGTGCAAGCAAAATGCTTGCGTTGTCAGCTGCACAACATTGCAAAGGTATGTCTAACGAATACACAACAACAATTATGAAGGCAAATAGATCACGAAATATACGAACGAATCCAAATTACAACCAAGTAACGCTTTAACAATAATGAAAATAACAATCTGTGCATATTTGCATGGGATGAATGAACACACGCATATATATACTGTGAATATGTACAGCGATCTATATTAGAGTGAACTTTGTCGAGTATACGGTATGTAAATACGCAGTGTATCTAAACAGTGTATACATTGTATCCAGTGTGCAAAGTCTCGATATACATCAGACAGCAGCCTTGACTGTGTATGTGGCTGTGTGTTTGTGAGTGAGGGTGTGTGTGTGTAGCAGTGTTCGATTCCCGCTCACGGCCAACACCGGTGACGAGTGGGGGGGGAGAGTGGGGGGGGGGGGAGAGTGGGGGGGGGGGAGAGTGGGGGGGGGGGAGAGTGGGGGGGGGGAGAGTGGGGGGGGGGGGGAGAGTGGGGGGGGGGGAGAGTGGGGGAGAGTGGGGGGGGGGGAGAGTTGGGGGGGAGAGTGGGGGGGGGAGAGTGGGGGGGGGAGAGTGGGGGGGGGAGAGTGGGGGGGGAGAGTGGGGGGGGGAGAGTGGGGGGGGGAGAGTGGGGGGGGGGAGAATGGGGGGGGGAGAATGGGGGGGGAGAGAATGGGGGGGGAGAGTGGGGGGGGGAGAATGGGGGGGGGAGAGTGGGGGGGGGAGAATGGGGGGGAGAGTGGGGGGGGAGAATGGGGGGGGGAGAGTGGGGGGGGGGAGAGTGGGGGGGGGAGAGTGGGGGAGAGTGGGGGGGGGAGTGGGGGGGGAGAGTGGGGGGGGGGAGAGTGGGGGGGTGGAGAGTGGGGGGGTGGAGAGTGGGGGGGGGAGTGGGGGGGAGAGTGGGGGGGGAGAGTGGGGGGGGGAGAGTGGGGGGGGGGAGAGTGGGGGGGGAGAGTCGGGGGGGGGAGAGTGGGGGGGAGAGAGTCGGGGGGGAGAGTGGGGGGGGGAGAGTGGGGGGGGGAGAGTGGGGGGGGGGAGAGTGGGGGGGGGAGAGTGGGGGGGGAGAGTGGGGGGGGGAGAGTGGGGGGGGGAGAGTGGGGGGGGGAGAGTGGGGGGGGAGAGTGGGGGGGGAGAGCGGGGGGGGAGAGCGTGGGGGGGAGAGCGTGGGGGGGAGAGCGTGGGGGGGAGAGCGGGGGGGGGGAGAGCGGGGGGGGGAGAGCGGGGGGGGAGAGCGGGGGGGGGGAGAGCGGGGGGGGGAGAGCGGGGGGGGGGAGAGCGGGGGGGGGAGAGCGGGGGGGGGAGAGTGGGGGGGGGAGAGTGGGGGGGGGAGAGTGGGGGGGGGAGAGTGGGGGGGGGAGAGTGGGGGGGAGAGTGGGGGAGAGTGAGTGAGTGAGTGTGAGGGGAGAGTGAGTGAGAATGAGAGTGTGAGTGAGAGTGTGAGTGAGAGTGGGGGGAGAGTGTGAGTGAGTGAGTGTGTGAGTGTGAGAGTGTGAGAGAGTGAGAGTGTGAGTGAGTGAGAGAGTGAGTGAGAGTGTGAGTGAGTGAGTGTGAGTGAGTGAGATCTGGGCAGGGTCCCATCGGTGAGCTCATCCGGCAGGCAAGGCTGCGATGGCTGGGTCATGTAGCCCGCATGCCCAGCCACCAAATGTCGAAACAGCTTTTGTTCGGCCGGATCGAGAGGGCTAAACGGGCGCAGCACGGGCTAGAGAAGAGATGGAGTGACGTGGTACAGGAGGACGTGGAGCTGAGTGGACTTGCCGATGACTGGTACCAGCGGTGTCAAGATCGGCCTCTGTGGAGGAGGCTCGTGAAGGATGCTACTGGGCAGTTGGAGGTAGTCGCCCTCCAACAACAACTGAGGGCGGAGGAGCGACGCTCACAACAACGAGCGGAGCGCCGGGTGGCTAAAGCACAGCAGGTTGGCACAGTAGGGGGCACAGGTGGTGCATCAGCCAGTCGTCTCAGTCATCTCAGTCAGTCGACCCGTGGCACCTGCTGGGTCTGCCCCGTGACCTCCTGCCAGCGGGCGTTCGACACTTCACGTGGCCTCAGGGTGCACATAGCCTGGCACAAGCGTCGTGGTGACGTCACCGCCACTTAGTGGTGAATGGCGGTTGCTGTTGAGTGAGAGTGTGAGTGAGTGCGAGTGTGAGTGAGAGAGTGTGAGTGAGTGAGAGTGTGAGTGAGAGAGTGTGAGTGAGAGTGTGAGTGAGTGTGAGAGTGTGAGTGAGTGTGAGAGTGTGAGTGAGAGTGTGAGTGAGTGTGAGAGTGTGAGTGAGTGTGAGTGAGTGTGATAATGTGAGTGAGAGTGTGAGTGAGAGAGAGTGAGAGTGTGAGTGAGTGTGAGTGAGAGTGTGAGTGAGTGAGAGTGAGAGAGAGTGAGTGTGAGAGTGTGAGTGAGTGAGAGTGTGAGAGTGAGTGTGAGAGTGAGTGAGTGTGAGAGTGTGTGTGAGTGAGTGTGAGAGTGAGTGTGAGTGAGTGAGAGTGTGAGTGAGAGTGTGAGTGAGTGAGAGTGAGTGTGAGAGTGAGTGTGAGAGTGTGTGTGAGTGAGTGTGAGAGTAAGTGTGAGTGAGTGAGAGTGTGAGTGAGTGAGAGTGTGAGTGAGAGAGTGTGAGTGAGAGTGTGAGTGAGTGTGAGAGTGTGAGTGAGTGAGAGTGTGAGTGAGTGTGAGTGAGTGTGATAATGTGAGTGAGAGTGTGAGTGAGAGAGAGTGAGAGTGTGAGTGTGAGTGAGTGAGAGTGTGAGAGTGAGTGTGAGAGTGAGTGAGTGTGAGAGTGTGTGTGAGTGAGTGTGAGAGTGAGTGTGAGTGAGTGAGAGTGTGAGTGAGAGTGTGAGTGAGTGAGAGTGAGTGTGAGAGTGAGTGTGAGAGTGTGTGTGAGTGAGTGTGAGAGTAAGTGTGAGTGAGTGAGAGTGTGAGTGAGTGAGAGTGTGAGTGAGAGAGTGTGAGTGAGAGTGTGAGTGAGTGTGAGAGTGTGAGTGAGTGAGAGTGTGAGTGAGAGTGTGAGTGAGTGAGAGTGTGAGTGAGAGAGTGTGAGTGAGAGTGTGAGTGAGTTTGAGAGTGTGAGTGAGTGAGAGTGAGTGAGAGTGTGAGTGAGAGAGTGTGAGTGAGTGTGAGAGTGTGAGTGAGTGAGAGTGAGAGAGTGTGAGTGAGAGTGTGAGTGAGTGGGAGTGTGAGTGAGTGAGAGTGTGAGTGAGTGAGAGAGTGTGAGTGAGTGAGAGTGTGAGTGAGAGAGTGTGAGTGAGTGAGAGTGTGAGTGAGTGAGAGTGTGAGTGAGTGAGAGAGTGTGAGTGAGTGAGAGTGTGAGTGAGAGAGTGTGAGTGTGTGTGAGAGTGAGTATGAGTGAGAGTGTGAGTGAGGGGACAGAGTCGGTACTCATTTTGAGGCTGAGTCGACTTAGGGGAGGCTCAGGACCGGTTCAGATTCATCGTCACCGGTGGTGTTGGCCGTGAGCGGGAATCGAACCCGGGTCGCCGGGTTCGATTCCCGCTGACCCCACCCCCACATCCCCCCCAGCCCCCACCCCCACATCACCCCCAGCCCCCACCCCCACATCACCCCCTCCCCCCACCCCCTCTCCCCACCCCGCCCCCTCCTCCCCCCACCCCGCCCCCCCACGTGACGTCGCTATAAACACGACCCTCGGCCTGTGAGGCCGAACGGGAAGCGTTAGCAGCAGCAGCCAGCAACAGCCAGCAACAACAGCAGTCCTCAACAACAGCAGCCGCAGCCAGCAGCAACAATAGCAGCAGCAGCTGCTGCAGGTGGTGGTGGCGGCTGCGGCGGCTTCCACACTTGTCAAGGTCCGGGTTCGGATCCCGTAGCTCGCGTTCACATTGCATTTGTGTTGAAGAGCGATGGTGGTGATGGTGGTGGTGGTGTTTCAGTATTATGGTGGTGGTGTTTCAGTATGGTGGTGATGATGGTGGTAGTGTTTCAGTATGGTGGTGATGATGGTGGTGGTGGTGTTTCAGTATGGTGGTGATGATGGTGGTGGTGTTTCAGTATGGTGGTGGTGTTTCAGTATGGTGGTGATGTTTCAGTATGGTGGTGATGGTGTTTCAGTATGGTGGTGGTGTTTCAGTATGATGGTGATGGCGATGATGATGGTGGTGGTGGTGTTTCAGTATGATGGTGATGCTTGATGGTGGTGGTGTTTCAGTATGATGGCGATGGTTGATGGTGGTGGTGTTTCAATATGATGGCGATGGTTGATGGTGGTGATGTTTCAGTATGATGGTGATGGTGGTGTTTCAGTATGATGGTGATGGTGTTTCAGTATGGAGACGGGAGTCGTCTGCGGCTCTGTGATGGTGGCTGGGTTGGTGATGGTGGTGATGTTTACGGTAACCGGTTGGTGAGATGGTGGTGATGGGGCTCGTGGTGCTCATGGCCGGTGTAATGAAGGTGCTGTTGATGGTGCTGATGTAGATGATGGTGCTGATGTAGATGATGGTGCTCATGTAGATGATGGTGATGCTGATGTAGATGATGGTGATGATGGTGCTGATGTAGATGGTGGTGTTGATGGTGCTGATGTAGATGATGGTGATGGTGGTGCTCATGTAGATGATGGTGCTGATGTAGATGGTGATGGTGGTGCTCATGTAGATGATGGTGCTGATGTAGATGGTGGTGTTGATGGTGCTGATGTAGATGATGGTGCTGATATAGATGATGGTGCTGATGTAGATGATGGTGGTGATGATGCTGATGGTGGTGATGTAGATGGTGGTGGGTCATGTTGTACGCACGTGGTAATGCCACTGTATGTACAGTGTAAGAGTGCAAGTTAAATATGGATTTTTTTAAATCTTGCAGTGCTGTTTGGTAAACAATTATTTTTTACAAATTTGTTAAATGACCCCATGTTTTAATGTTTTTTTTTTAAATGCACTATTGTAAACTTTTTAACTCTTAATGCAAAGTGCGTCGTTTAGGTCCGATTTTATTTTGTAAGATACTTTTTAAATTATTATTACACGCTTTTTATTAACTCGCTCTGTTGTATCCTCAAATCTTGTAACTCAATGTTAACCCACTTCCCAGTGTGGTATCGACTGCAAACTTGGTATACGTATGTCATACTGATGGCTACTATATTCTATCATTAAAAAACAACATGTATTTTTAAACATTATTTGTTATGTTTCGGCTTGGCTGTAAATCACCACGTCCCCTTACGTTATGGCAAGCTTCAGGGACACTTCCTGGGGTACTTTAGTTCTGCCATTTACTAGTACGGTACATCTCATTAAAGCGTGTTTTAAGTAAAAAAAGTGTTTTTAAATATTACTTATTATTTAGTAAACTTGGGGAGAGACGTAAAGACGGATTTTTTTTTTTTAAATAAAAATCTATTTTCGCACGTGAGATTAGCCCGGGTGGACATGGGCCCTGCTGCAGCGAGCTGGATTCCGCGGATTGATTTTATAACCGCGGGGGTTCGCGGTCGGGATCCGCCAGGCAGCCCTGGATATTCCCGCGGGCGCACCACAGTGGCTATGAGATGTTAACTACCTCGCCTGGTATACAGGAGGTCGTGGGTTCGATCCCGACCCTGACGATGCCTGCTGCTGCTGTATATTTGGAGTCTGCGTCTTTCTCTCTCATCAGCATCATCATCATCACGGTGGCTAGGAGATGTTGACTACCTCGCCTGGTATACAGAAAGTCGTGGGTTCCATCCCGACCCTGACGATGCCTGCTGCTGTGTATTTTGAGGCTGCGTTTCATCATCATCACGGTGGCTATGAGATGTTAACTACCTCGCCTAGTGTACAGAAGGTCGTGGGTTCGATCCCGACCCTGACGATGCCTGCTGCTGCTGTGTATTTGGAGTCTGCGTCTTTCTCATCATCATCACGGTGGCTAGGAGATGTTGACTACCTCGCCTGGTATACAGGAGGTCGTGGGTTCCATCCCGACCCTGACGATGCCTGCTGCTGTGTATTTTGACTCTGCGTCTCTCATCATCACGGTGGCTCGGAGATGTTAACTACCTCGCCTGGTATACAGAAGGTCGTGGGTTTGATCCCGACCCTGACGATGCCTGCTGCTGTATATTTTGGAGTTTGCGTGCCCAAATATATTTTGGCTGCGGCTATAAATGTCAACGCTGTAAGCCACTAAGTTGAGCTATCACTTGTCACGTGCCGGGTCGCTTCTGGAAAAAAGGCCTAGATACAGCTCTGTGTGGGGGTCTTACCTGGCGAAATAAAACCAAATTGTGTAAAAACAAAAAATAGTATTTGACTATTGGAAACCTCACGCGCCGTCTCGCTCCGCAGTGGAGGTCGCATGTTGAACATCGCCGTGGTGAGCGGGCATCTTAGTCTAAATTTGCCAAATATTGGAAAGGGAAAAATATCCCTTCAAATTACCTGGGTAAAAAAAAAATTGTGGCAGGCCCCTCCTGAAATAAATAAATCCTTGAGCTGGCTCGAGTCTCCCCTGGGTAAACCAGTTGTGTAATCGTTTTAACATTAACCGAGCGCGGGTCGTGACCACCCACTGCTAAACTTCAGCCGTTGTCTCTCCTCCGCTGGTGGATGAAGGCGCACGCCAGACGGAGCCGTGGCCAGCTCATGACCGTGATGCCTGTGCGCGCGCGTGTGTTGGACTTCTTTGGCACCAGCGTACGCAGCCGTGCTAATAATTGGAGGTGTTCGCGGGGAAAGATCGGGGGTGTTCGCGGGGAAGGATCGGGGGTGTTCGCGGGGAAGGATCGGGGGTGTCCGCGGGGAAGGATCGGGGGTGTCCGCGGGGAAGGATCGGGGGTGTTCGCGGGGAAGGATCCGGGGGTGTTCGCGGGGAAGGATCGGGGGTGTCCGCGGGGAAGGATCGGGGGTGTTCGCGGGGAAGGATCCGGGGGTGTTCGCGGGGAAGGATCCGGGGGTGTTCGCGGGGAAGGATCCGGGGGTGTTCGCGGGGAAGGATCCGGGGGTGTTCGCGGGGAAGGATCCGGGGGTGTTCGCGGGGAAGGATCGGGGGTGTCCGCGGGGAAGGATCGGGGGTGTTCGCGGGGAAGGACCGCACATTTTCAACGCCCAAAAGTGGTGTCCTCTGTTTGTCGTGGTCAAATCTTGCAATCAAAATTTCGTCCACTTCCCATTTTGTACAATCAATTCCACATTTTGCACGCGTACTCGGATCCGGTGACAATGCATGATTGGCATCAATTAATATATGAATTCGCTACTTTAAAGCAATTTAACATTTTGTACGGACGCCTTATTTATATATATTTGTGTAGGTCGAAAAACTCCGGTCCCTCAACTGTGGAATCGGCTCGCACAAAACGCAGGCGCCGCGTGTCTCAGGCGCCATTGACTTAGCTTCTCGACCGTGAGTAAAAATAAGTTGTTAATAAAACCGCTGTTTAAAAAAAAAACGTTTTCAAAGGAGTTTATTTAGAAGTGTAGACGCTGGTTTAAAATCGCAAGGCTCCCCCCGGTGGCTTCCTAACATCGGAAGGAGGAAGAGCGTTCCAGACGGCCGCAGAGGCGCGCCTGAACGCGCGAGATGTGGTGACTGTCCTTGTTCGATGGCAAGTCAAAGTTGTCGTCTATAGTAGCGTGGTATCTAGTCGTGTGTGGTGTATGGAGCATCTGAAAGCGTGCGACGGAGTGACCGTCTTTGTACGATGGCAAGTCAAAGTTGTCGTCTATAGCAGTGTGGTATCTAGTCGTGTGTAGTGTATGGAGCATCTGAAAGTCCTTGTTCGATGACCTGCCGCTGCTGCGAGAATGACCAGAGCTCACGTGACCCATGCGTCACATTGGTGAACCATTGAGATTCTCTCTCGGTCTCTTATCACTCCCCCGTCTCCATCGGCAACCTTGTGATGTTTGATCCACGGACCAATCCTGTGGCGCTCGATTTTCTATTTATGAAAAAAAAACTAGCTGTACTACCCGGCTTCGCCCGGGACTTGGATTCACCACGCCCGGCCGCCTTTGTCTCCCCAGTGGCGATGTTGACACACCACACCAGTTACTCGTTTGAGGCTGAGTCGACCTAGGGGAGGCCCAGGACCGGTTCAAATAATCGTCACCGGTGGTGGCCGTGAGCGGGAATCGAACTCGGGTAGCCGAGTTCGTAGCGCGGCGTAGCGCTCACCGCTATACCACAATGCGTTACGCGTCCACGTGCGTGGTTCACATGACAGACGTGACGTCACAGCTCACTTGCCGTGTAAAAAGGCGTGTTTTTATAATGTTTGCATGGTGTACAGTCTGGAAAGTTCCCACATGGCAAATGTCAAGTTTGTTGCATGTCGGGAAGTACGCTAAACATTTTGAACAGACACACAATCACAACTTTGCCTTTTATATTTATGGAGATGTTCTTTGCCAGCCGTCCGATGAATTTGGTGCCAGTTATTCCGCGTCCAGTGTTGGCGCGTGTGTTTTATCCACTTCTTCTGCCGGATTAAATCGCTTACATTTGCACACGATGACTTTTTTTGAAAGCCTTTAATTGCATCGTGCCCGGGGGGGAGGGGAGGGGGGATTTATCTGTAATCGCGAGACAACTTCACCCCCTTTTTTACCTCCAGCTTACGAGCCACACTTTATTTATTTTCCCCAACCGGATAAAAAGCAAAAAATTACGCAAAAGTTATGGATGCGTCTTATGAATCCTGGTCGAGTGTGTGCATTTGTGTGTTTGACCACCGTGTGTACAACCTTTTATTGACCACCGGGTGCATGATCGGGGTGGATATTACCATGCAGAGCATTATTCTTGCAGCACAAGCTAATCGTCATCGGGTGTGAAAACCACAGCAAGAAAATTGTGAAAATGTTCTTGCTGTGATTTTCACACCTGATGATGATTGCTTTTGCTGCAATTGAAACGTCGTGAGAATTTTATTGATTTTTTATTTTTTTATTATTTCTCATCTACGTGGTGACTTTTACCGAAAGAACCAAGAATATGAATCCCTGCAGTCACGAAAGCTTTAAGTCGAAATTTAAATGCAGAGCATTGTAAATTTTGCGGGGTTTACTCTGCAACACACCAGCTGGTGCTGAACTATTCACGAAATCGCATGTTTTCTTTACGCGACAGCCCTTACTAATTGGTGGTGGCGGGTTTAACGACCCATTTTTTTATCTTTACGAAATCCTAACCAAATAAACCCCCTATGTATGGTGTGTATATATTGCATTAACCCGTTTATTCGTGTGTGTGTGTGTATCGTAGGGTGGTGGTGTTTGTCGTGGTTTCCTCATTGCGCTCCAAACCGGGAGTCTGCCGCAGTCCACATCCGAGGTGAGTGTTGTCGGATCCTCCAGCTCGTCCCACGTGGCCATTATCTACCCACTGCTGCATGAAGGCTTTGCAGCCCCGTATGACGTCTTCCTCACACCTGCTTCGTAGGGGCTCGCGAACGGCGCTGTCACCAGCTGAGCGTTCTGTTGTATGGCTGCACAGGGGATCTTTATCGCTGTGTTTTACCTTAGCCGAAATAATAAATTTTTTGAACCGATTTTTAAAAACGTTATTACTTCTTGTTATGAAATTTTGGTATTGGCCTGCTAGCTCCGGCGGTAGTGCGATGCAGTTCGCAATCGAGAGGTAAAATTAGCACCACTCTGTGGGGGAAGTCAAGTGACTCGGGCCCCGCCATACCAATGTGGAATGTCCACCGCTCCTTGCACAGGGCCGTAAGCGGAATATGAGCACCGACACTTTTGCTCGTTTTTGAGCAGCAGTAGGAAATTGCTTTGCGTAAAAAACACAACCACCATGGGGTCCGTTCTCTCTCGCGTAAAGGTGCATTCCATTCCTATAATAAACCTCATCACTGGGGAGACAAAGGCGGCCGGGCGTGGTGTTGGCCACCCACCACCTCGTGTACCGTTCTGGGCCTTCGTAGGTGCTCGCTAGCAGCACTTGCCCCTACAATCTGTTAAGGCTACACGGGGGATCTTTGTCTTGATGCATTTGGTCCTGGTTGAGCGACCGTCGCCCGCTGTTTTAGTGACGCACGAAGGAATGAGTGAATTACTTGAATGTACCGTTGTCCATTTGGAGTGTTGGGAGTTTGCGTTGCACACCATTCTCGGAACCACTTGTGGAGTCCTTGTGGAGTCCTTGTACTTCTGCCTAGGGAGGAGGCGGGGGAATCGGTGGGAGATCACTTTGCTGGAGTCCCAATTGCTCTGGGATCTGAGTTGGCGATGGGTGCGTGCCGTCTCGCACGCCCTTGCATTGGCAAACGCCACAATGTTTGGGCGTTAAGTAGAATGAACCCCAAATTTTGATTTAAAGCTTTCGTGACTGCAGGGATTCATTTTCTTGGTTCTTTCGGTAAAGTCACCGCGTAGAAGGGAAACAAAATAATAAAAATAAAAAAACAATAAAAATTCTCACGACGTTTCGACTGCAACACAAGCAATCATCATCAGGTGTGAAAACCACAGCCGCTTTTTTTCAAATTTTCTTGCTGTGGTTTTCACACCTGATGATGATTGCTTGTGTTGCAGTCGAAACGTCGTGAGAATTGTATTGTTTTTTTTTAATAATTTTATTGTTTCCCTTCTACGTGACTTTACCGAAAGAACCAAGAATAAAAATGATCCCACTTTAGGTGGCCCCCAAAGCTATGAGCGAACGGGGGATTTGTCCTAAAGTGTAGATCCCCCGCAGCTGACGTGATGCACGGTTGATATTTTGGATTGAACGATTTCTTTTTTTCAGTCCTGAAAGAATAATAATAATTAAAAAATCGCAAAGTCATTCGGATTCTTACCACGTTCCTCGGTTGCGTCCTGGTGACGCTTGATGCAGCTTCGCATCAAATTGGCTGCGCTCAACGTGGCTGTGAGAATCGATGCAGTTTGTGCTCCGTACCTACGGGTGCGGTTTTATTTGACCATGTCCCCTGCAGCCACTAGAGGTCGCTACTTCCACTGAACGGTGACCCACCCCCCCTCGTATCGTGACTATGTAGAGGTTTGCCCCAGAGGGGAATCGCAAAGGCTTCGTATTTACACGGCGTGTAAAATACAACCGCATCTCACGACGATGCACACAAACGGCGGGTGCGTTTGATTTGTTTGCGAGGTGGTTAGTGGGTCTCTCTCAGGCTGTGGTTCTGTGCGATTCTATTGGTCTGTGAGAGCTCATTGGTCTCTCTGCACGAGTCCGTGGGTCTGTGGCAAGTCCGTGGGGCTTCGTGTGCGACCCACTTTGGGTACAGTTTGCGTTTTTTTTTAGTACAGCTTTTCGGATGCGCTTCTGCGGCCGTCTGGAACGTTCTTCCTTCCGATGTTAGGAGGCCACTGGAGCTATGCACTTTTTTTTTTAAGTCTTAATTGAAAACTCCATTTCTTTAGAACTTGCCTTTTGTGTTTCTAGTTTGACCTTCTCCCGCACCTCGGATTTCGCACGGTTGGTTACGTCCGGTGCGAAAGGAGCTCTACTAATATACGTGCACAAGTAAAAAGCGGTTGCCTCGCAAGCCGCTGTGCGGGAACGGTCTGTGCGCTCGGGAAGAAGAAAAGGGGAAGGTCTTGAGCCTGGGCTTGTGCAGGGAGTCGACAGGACAGTCCGCTGGGGGAAGGGCGTTCCAGACAGCGGGGGCAGCAGAGGAGAATAAGCGACCTCCCTGACTGCTTTGGGGGGGGGGTAGGGGGGACTTCCACAAAAAGCCTTGCTCGCTGGAGAGGGCGAGGCGAGTGGTGTAGAGCAAGATGATGACGATGATGACGATGATGATGAGAGGAGCGGCAGAGCAAGGGGTCGTGAAGACGCTGCGAGTGGCGGTCCTGACGTCGATGCGGTATTGGATTGGGGAGCCGGTGGAGGGATACGCGAGCGGTAGGGTGACGTGGGCAGCGGTAGTGTAGCGGTTAGCGCACCGCGCTACGAACCTGGCGACCCGAGTTCGATTCCCGCTCGCGGCGAAACACCAGGTGACGATTGTCCGAACCGGTCTTGGGCCTCCCCTAGGTCGACTGGGCCTCAAATGAGTATCTGGCGCGGTGCGTAAAAGCATCGCCACTGGGTGGGGGGGGAGGGGGGACAAAGGCGGCTGGGTGTGGTGCAGGCCACCCACCCCTTCGTGTGCGGTGCCGGCCTTCATAGCAGCACTTGCCCCAACAGTCTGAGGCTATGGGGGGGGGCGGGGGCTCCTTTGTCTTTGTTTAGGTTGACTAAGTGAAGGGATGCCCCTTTTGTTTTGCTTTGCGTCTTAAGGAATGGCCAGGAACCATTCTCCTTGTCTCGATGGGAGGGCCGTTTGTCACTGTGTTTGGCAAACTTGTTTTGCCTTTTCTTGACCCGTGTCTTGTTTTATGGGTTAAACCACGTGGCGGTGTTAACCCAACGGTGTACCTGGGTCATTGCGGTGTTGCCTATTACGGTTTTTTTAACGATTTTTTTTGGTTTTTAAATAATCAGCGGCAACCAACCTCGGTCGCCTGCACGTCGGTCGATCGACCGGAGGAACCCTGAGCGTCGTAGTCCGTTTTTAAATTTTCCTCCGGCGCTGTCAACCGTGCCGCCTCAAATGTTTTACGATCTGCCGGCCCACTCTTGGCAACCGTGCCGCTGATCTTGAAGTGGAAATAAAGTCGCGGGGGGAGGCGATGGTGTGCATTGGTAAGCCAGGAACTGGTTACAATTTTTGTATTGACGTGATGAATGCTGCTCCAATGTGTCATTTGAAATTAATAACAGCGCTCGAGGGCCAAGCATGCACCCTGGCTTTAATCGGTGAGTGTGCGAGGTTTGTTTGGTGCGTGGGGAGAAGCGACCATGCACCCGTCGTAGACTCGATGGCGACCTTTGACATTTGAAAAGCGGATTGAACCTAATCCTGCCGGAGTGCCGTCCTAATAATAATAATCCAGAACAGCCACGGGAACGCGCGTCCCCTTCGCGCGGGCTGCTCCGTGTTTACTCCAAACTAATTTTTAACAAAAAGTTATCGCCGCGTACTGCCGTTCCTTTCATTTATTCATACCAGTCTCGCCAAAAGGCCGTCGTCCCGGCTCGAGCCCAAGTCCATTGAATGTCAATAACTTGTGTGTGTGTGTGTTCTCTCCTCCACGTGGCGAGTGATAGTGCAGCGCAAATAATCCAGCGACCACCACCCCCCCCCCCCCCCGAGTTCCATTCCCGCTCTCTTCCACCACCCCGGTAACGATTACCTGAACCGGTCCTGAGCCGACTCGGCCTCCAAACGATTACGGTGTGCGGTAAACGTCGCCACCGGGGAGACAAAGGCGGCCGTGGGCGTGGTGCTGACCCACCCACCCACCTCGAACAACCGTGCCGGCCTTCGCAGGTGCTGCTCGCTTAACGGCACTTGGCCCCTGCAGTCCGTTACCCCGCGTGATTGCGAGGTTCACAAGAGGATCCGCAGTCTTGTTTGTCAACCGCTGCTAATTATGCCCTGCGTTGACCTGGCTGGTGTGCGGTGCGCACGCGCCCCGCGTGGCTGGGTACGTGCGCCGCACTGCATGTCGCTCGTGCCGTGCTATAAATAGTGTGCGCTCGCGCGCGTGCACGTATTGTCCACACGTGCACTGGGCACGCGTGCGGCTTTGACGGGCAAGTCGGCAAGCGCTGTTGGCACCTAATTTAAGGTCGGCACGGCACACGAAGGGCGTGGTTTAGCCGGTTCCACGCCCACACCAACGATGAAGACAAACACCCCCCGTATAGCCTCAACAGGCTGCAGGGGCAAGTGCTGTTAGCGAGCACCTCTGAAGGCCGGTAACGGTACACGAGGGGGTGGGTTTGCCAGCACCACGCCCGACCGCCTTTGTCTCCCCAGTGGCGATGTTTACTACACACCGCACCGGGTCCTCATTTTGAGGCTGAGTCGACCTAGGGGAGGCCCGGCACCGGTTCAAATAATCGTCACCGGTGGTGTTGGCCGTGAGCGGGAATCTAACCCGGGTCGCCGGGTTCGTAGCGCAGCAGCGCGCTAACCGCTACACCACCGCTCCCCACGCCCACATAAGCCCATGCACGCACACGCTCGCTCTCTCAAACGCGCGCACAAATACTTGCATGCGTACTTGTACAATGCACGCACGTGTGTGTGTGTGTGTGCTGCCCTATGAACTCGGCGACCTGAGTCGGATTCCCACCCAACGGTTGGTGACCAATGTCTGAACCGGTCTTGGGCCTCGGCTCTGTTGACGGAGCCTCAAACGAGTAGCCGGTGCGGCGCGTAAGCATCGCCGCTGGGGAGACAAAGGCGGTCGGGCGTGGTGCTGGCCACCCACCCCCTCCGTGTGCTTTTGCCGGCCTTCATTAGGTGCTCGCTAACAGCCCTTGCCCCAACAGTCTGAAGGCTCTACTTGGGGGGGGGTCTTTGTCTGCCTCTGCGTGAATGTCTGTGTCTTCCCCCGTGTGCATGCTCGGAGTTTGTAACAAACAGTGGTGACAACACTTGCCCTGACGTCCTGTTGCGGCTATATGGGGAGAGGAGGGGGGGGGGGTGTATCTTTGTCGTGTGTGTGTGTGTGACAGGTCTGCGCGAGCCCCAGTCTGACCTTGCTGTTGTGGAATCGCTTTGGCGTTAAGGTGGCGTTGTCACCACCATTGCCCCACTGCGACCATAGCAGCAGCAGCCCACCCCTCGCGGCGGCGGCGGCGGCGGCAGCAGCAACAACAATAACAGCGGCTGCCCTTTATTTAGCGTGCGTGTGCGACGGGGACGGCCAACTCGGCGCGGGGTGAACTCGGGCCGGAGCGAGGCGAGCGAGCGATCTGCTGCCGTTGCGCAAGGACGCTGCTGCGACACTGCTGCCTCTAATGTGAAACGCGTGGCCCAGTGTTGCGTGGTTTTTTAAAACTTTTTCCTTCTCCCTCCCCCAATTGGCTCTTGCGGGCGTGAACTCCCGTGGCCTTTGACCGTGGATAACGTGCGATGTCGTCCGATTCTCGCAAGCCAAGCAGGATTTTGTGAGCCTGTAATAGTAACCCCGCTCGGGTGAGCAGGCGACCGGAACCGACGCGGGTCGCCGTGAGGAGTCGTCGGAGGTTTTATTGTTTTCCCCCTCGTTTGTTTGTTTGTTTGTTTTGGGCCACGTAAAATGATCCGGTCCAGATTTGTGTCCGCTGAGTGAGATCCCCCCCCCCTCCACCACCCGACTACAGCCAAAGACCTCTAATTGTCACGTGGTGTGACCAACCGGAGCTGAATGACGCGCCGTTTGTATTATTGTTGTTTTCGCCTCGATTGGAAACTCTTGGCTTGTGAGAAGAACATTTTTATTTTACAAATGGAGGTAGGTGTCTCGTGTGTGTGTAGCACGATTTATAGACGGTGCTAATTCAAATATAGATGGCGACCTTTTGCGTGCGTGCGTTGGCATGTGCGTGCGTGTCCCACTTGGCTGGTTTTGAGGAGCTCGCAGATCCACGAGAGATCTGGACACGGTCCCATCATCGGCGAGCTCCTCCGGCAAGCGAAGTAGCGTTCTTGACTGCGTTGGTCATGCATCCCGCATGCCCAGCCACTGCATGCCCATGCAGATTCCGCTTGGTCTCGTAGAGGGGGCTAAACGGGTGCGGCACGAGCTAGATGGGCTTATGCGGTTCGGAAGGACGTGGATACTGAGCGGACTTGCCGATGACCGGTACCAGCGGTGTCAAGATCGGCCTCTGGAGGAGGCTCGTGAAGGACTCTACAGGGCAGTTGGGGGGGCAGTCGCTCTCCACCAGCAACTGAGGGCAGAGGAGCGACGCTCGCGACAACGGGCGACCAACCGCGGCGCGCGTCTGCCGGTCATCTCGGTCCCTCGACCCATAGCACCCCTCGGTGTGACGCCGCCGGCCTTCATTACGGCAATCGCCCCAGCGGCGCGTCACGGCAAAGGCGTCGGTCCGTGCGTGACGCTGACGCCACCCCTTTGGTGCGCTGTGCCGGCAGGCGCTCGCTGCGACCGCACTCGAGCCCAGCAGTCTGTGCGGCAGGCGTTGTGGAGCTGCGTGTGGTAATTACGGGCCGAAGCGTGGATCCATGGCTTGCTTGTTAACAGTTGGCGTTGGCCCGGGTGCATGGGCACGTGGTGGACGAATGGGGCGGCGGGGGGGGGGTGGCGGTGTTTGGGTGGTTGCGAGTGGCTGCGTCAAAATGTGGGTCATGGGTGAAATCAAGTGGTGGGTTGTGAGCTCTGCGGGTGGTTGGGTGGAGTCGGCAGTGTGTGGTGGGTTTGGTCTTTGGTGGGTGTGTGAGGAGGGGCTTGCGTGGTTGTTGGTGAGGGGTGGGTTTTTTTATTTTATTTAATACTGCTCTTGTTTACCCACGGAAGCCTCGTTCGGAGTCTCACGGCTCTGCTCAGGAAGGTCCTGCCAAGTGTTCGCAGTGGTGGGGGGCGATGCTGCTGCTGCTGTTGTGTGATTCCCAATGGAATAAATGTCGTGCGGTGTTCAGTTTCCAAATTTGGATTCTGACGACAGCCGGGTCTTTAACGTGCGCTCGGTAGCGGACGACGGCCGCGGCCTTACAGTTGATGAACGCCGCGGTGTTAACCAGGGCAGCCGCCGAGTTAAAACAATTTTTTTGTCTCTGTGGTAAATCCCCACTGAGCTATGTGTAGCGCCTCGTCTTTTTTCAGAAGCGACCTGGCCACAAACGATGGCTCAACAGTGTCGTTATCACGTGGCCAATGTACAGCGGCCGAATGCTCTAAACGCGTGACGTTGATTTTCCTAAATGCGGAGGGGGAAAAAACTGGAAATCTACGGGGAGAGACGCACGCTCCAAATATGCGGCAGCAGCAGGCACCGTTGGAGTGGTGATAGAACCCGCGACCTCCTGCATACCAGGCGAGGTAGTTGACATCTCCTAGCCACCGTGATGATGAGAAAGAGACGCAAACTCCAAATATACAGCAGCAGGTATCGTCGGGGTCTGAATTGAACCCACGACCTCCTGTAGACCAGCCGGGAATGCAAACCGTGAACTTCTGCAACAAGCCGCGAATGCCGCCACCACCACTGTGCCGTTCCCCCGCGGGTGACACGGTTGAGTGGTTACGGGGGGGGGGTGGGAGGTTGAGTGGCGTTTGCGAACGAGGTGGGTTGTGGCTGGGACACGTGCTGTGTTTTGCAGATGAGGTGAGGGGGTGTGCGAGGGTCTGGTAGTGGCTACGTACTGGGTGGGTGTGACAAGTGGATGGTAGGCGAGGTTGGGGGTGGTGGTGTGTGAGTGGGTGAGGTTGTGGGTGGTTTCTATGATTATGGAGTAGTGTGCGCGTGTGTGGATTGGTCTAATTAGTTGGGGGGTGTTTTTGTATGGAGGTTGACCTCGGCCTCCTGAGTACCTGGTGTGGTGTGTGTGTGTAAACGTCACCACGTACGGACAGACGTTGGGGCTGGCCACACGAACCCCATCGCGTGCTGTTCCGGCCTCCTCCCATAGGTGCTCGCTAACAGCACTAGCCCCCAAAAGTCGGTGAAGACTATATGGGGGGGTCTCTGTCTTTTTGTGGGTGAGCGAGGTGGGGTATTGGGTTGGAGGGTGAATGAAATGGGTGGATGAGTGGGTTATTGGGTGCCAGTGAGGGTGAGTGGGTGGGTGAGGGTGAGTGGGTGGGTGGGAGTGAGTGGGTTATTGGGTGGGTGGTGAGAGGGTTCTTGGGTGGGTGGTGAGTGGGTTATTGGGTGGGTGGTGAGAGGGTTATTGGGTGGGTGGTGGGAGGGTTATTGGGTGGGTGGTGGGAGGGTTATTGGGTGAGTGGGTTATTGGGTGGGTGGTGGTGAGTGGGTTATTGGGTGGGTGGTGGTGAGTGGGTTATTGGGTGGGTGGTGGTGAGTGGGTTATTGGGTGGGTGGTGGTGAGTGGGTTATTGGGGGTGGGTGGGGGTGAGTGGGTTATTGGGTGGGTGGTGGTGAGTGGGTTATTGGGTGGGTGGTGGTGGGAGGGTTATTGGGAGGGTGGTGGTGGGAGCGTTATTGGGTGGGTGGTGGTGGGAGGGTTATTGGGTGGTGTGGTGGTGGGAGGGTTATTGGGTGGGTGGTGGTGGGAGGGTTATTGGGTGGGTGGTGGTGAGTGGGTTATTGGGTGGGTGGTGGTGAGTGGGTTATTGGGTGGGTGGTGGTGAGTGGGTTATTGGGTGGGTGGTGGTGGGAGGGTTATTGGGTGGGTGGTGGTGGGAGGGTTATTGGGTGGGGTTGGTGGTGGGAGGGGTTATTGGGTGGGTGGTGGTGGGAGGGTTATTGGGTGGTGGTGGTGGGGAGGGTTATTGGGTGGGTGGTGGTGGGAGGGTTATTGGGTGGGTGGTGGTGGGAGGGTTATTGGGTGGGTGGTGGTGGGAGGGTTATTGGGTGGGTGGTGGTGGGAGGGTTATTGGGTGGGTGGTGGTGGGAGGGTTATTGGGTGGGTGGTGGTGGGAGGTTATTGGGTGGGTGGTGGTGGGAGGGGTTATTGGGTGGGTGGTGGTGGCGGGTTATTGGGTGGGTGTGGTGGGAGGGTTATTGGGTGGGTGGTGGTGGGAGGGTTACTTGGGTGGTGGTGGTGGGAGGGTTATTGGGTGGGTGGTGGTGGGAGGGTTATTGGGTGGGTGGTGGTGGGGAGGGTTATTGGGGTGGGTGGTGGTGGGAGGGGTTATTGGGGTGGGTGTGGTGGGAGGGTTTATTGGGTGGGTGGTGGTGGGAGGGTTATTGGTGGGTGGTGGTGGGAGGGTATTGGGTGGGTGGTGGTGGAGGGTATTGGGGGTGGTGGTGGGAGGGTTATTGGGTGGGTGGTGGTGGGAGGGTTATTGGGTGGGAGGGTGAATGCTTGGCCTGGGTGTGTTAGTGGTGGGAGGATGGGCGCGCGGTGTTGGTATGTGGCCGATGATATTTTCTGGCTGTGCCTCTGCGCAGCGGATTTTGTTTCTTGCTGAGCTTGTGCTCGTGCCGTGCGTTCCGCCCTCTGCCTGTGCGTCGGTGTGATCGGCGTGCGGCCTGTGCGTGCTCGTCAATTCCTCTGTGTGTGTGTGTGCGCGTGCGTGCGTGTGCGTGCGTGTGCGTGCGTACCTTGAGAGCGCGCATCCGCTGCCACACTGCGTGTGGTTGGTTTCCCGAATACCTGTTTGTGTGTGCGTGTGTATCTGCACAGGAGGTCGTAGAAGGCGTCCGTACCCGTGTGTGTCTGCGTGCTTGGCTATGTCTGCCCATCAGCCACCCATGGTGGGCAGAAAGGGCCATGGGGGAGGAGGGGCTGCTGCTGCTGCTGCCGCGGCGCTGGCGATGTCTTCGACGCCGCCGCTTGCGCTGGCGCTGCCCGGCAAGGGCGCCGGGAGCCACGGCCGGCGGGAAGCGCGGTACAAGATCGGCCACTACAGCCTCGGGGACACGCTCGGTGTCGGCACGTTTGGCAAGGTCAAGGGTAGGTCTGTCGCGTGCACGTTCAAGTACACACACACACACACGGGCGCGCTTGCACGTACACGTACAAAGACGGAGATCCCCGTATAGCCTTGGCAGACTGTTTGGGGCAAGTGCCGTTAGCAAGTCGCTCCCTTGGAAGGCCGGCACGGCTCACGAGGGGGCGAGTGGCGAGCACCGCGCCCGGCCGCCTTTGTCTCCCCAGTGGCGAAGTTGACACAACCGCACCAGGTACTCATTTGAGGTCGAGTCGACCTAGGGGAGGCCCGGAGCTGGTTCACATGTCGGCAACATTAGGCAAAGCGGAAAATCGAACTCTGGTGGCTTTGTTGATTTGTGTAAAATGAGTGCACGCACGCTCGCGTAAACGCGTGTTCGCACGTACACGTGGACACACGCCAAGTTCTGTTCATGCTGGCAATAAGCGACGCTTGCTAACAGCACTTGCCCGCAACGGTCTGCTAAAGGCTACATGGGGTGGGGGATCTTTGTCTTGATTGCCGTGCGTTTGTGGCGTGCGTAGACACGCGAACGTGCCCGGTCTACACGCTGCCGTGCGTGTGTGAGCGTGCGTCTTTGTACACGGGCGGTGGGGGAATGTCGCGCGTGTCCGGTTTTTAATTTTGAAAGCGCGATATTAAACCCGCGGGGTGGGAGCGGGTGGCACGGCGGTCGGAGCGCCTCTGCTGAGAAGCCGGCGACCCCTCGATGTTCGATCCCCCGGCCGCGGCCCTCTGGCCGCGGCCCTCTGGCCACGGCCCTCCGAACGCGGCCGGAGGGCCGCGGTGGCTCGACGGTACGGAGCGAGCGGATTGCGAGCGGCTTGCGGTCGCGGGTTCGCACTCGGCCCGTCGTTCCTCACCGCACCCCGAGCTCGATTTTTAAAATGAATGTCGCTCGGTGGGGGGGGAGTCGACGGCATTGGATGGTCCCGTCCCCTCCCCAACCCCGCCATAGCAAGGTGGAATTTCCTCCGCTGCCTCCCAGGGCCGTGTAAACATGAGATGAGAAGGTAACGACTGACATTTCTTTACACGGCTTGCGTCTTCATCGTTGCCACCCGAAGCCGAGGTGTCATCTTAACGGCGTAGGGTCTTGCTTCCCCGTCCCCCCCCCCCTTGCGGGATCGGCCGAGCCCGCGGGAATCTCCGTTCCCCTTGTGCGGAGCGAGATCGGTGTTTTTAATTTCCAGCGCCCCGTGGTCCATCCCGGCGGCGCTCCTCCGTCCCGAGCTCCAGCGAGCGTCCTCGCCGTTTGCCGGACGACGAACGTTGCTCTCGGCTCGCACTCATCGCCGCGCACGCCCAAAGTGCTCGCCGCGAATGAGCCGCGCTGCCTCGCAGATCTCTCGCCGTGGAGCTGTAAGCCACCGTCTCCGCTCAGCCTCGCAGCGGCTTTTGGCTGCTAAGCCATCGAACAAAACACGGTGGTTGCCGCGTCGCGGCGCTTTGAGGGATGCGCTTCTGCGGCCGTCTGGAACGCTCTTCCATTCCGATTACAAAATACTGTACCTATTTAATACAAAGTAATCAAATGTATTAATTAAAATGTAATCGCGGCTGGCGTGAGTTTGTTGGGTCTTTCATTTAAAAGGGGGGGGGGCGGGTTACATAAAGCAAAGCATAAAAAAACTGAAATGATTAACGGAGCAAAGTGCCGACTACACCGAGCATCTTCTTGTTTCCTCTGATCGTAAAAAAAAAGAGAGACGAGAGGAGAGGAGGGTTATTGTGTAGGACGACTTTCACTGTCGCTAACGGAATCACCGCCATCTGTTGGCTCACTGGATTCTTTTTCTTCTTGTGCGACTTTAACGAGGAAACCTATCGCGATGACGCTCGCTTCTGCCTCCTTTTGAGGATTTTGCGGGAATGTGACATTGCATTGTCGTGAAACAGATTCATCGCTCGCACCGCTACAGCCTTATTCGGGCGGTGCTTTTCTAAAGAACAGTCACTGCACTTGGACACACAATGAAAGTATGCTTTACGCACACACACACGTGGTCACAACACTATACAGTACTGTAGTAAACAGTATACACGTGGTCACAACACTAGTACTGTAGTAAACAGTATACACGTGGTCACAACACTAGTACTGTAGTAAACAGTATACACGTGGTCACAACACTATACAGTACTGTAGTAAACAGTATACACGTGGTCACAACACTAGTACTGTAGTAAACAGTATACACGTGGTCACAACACTAGTACTGTAGTAAACAGTATACACGTGGTCACAACACTAGTACTGTAGTAAACAGTATACACGTGGTCACAACACTATACTGTAGTAAACAGTATACACGTGGTCACAACACTATACAGTACTGTAGTAAACAGTATACACGTGGTCACAACACTAGTACTGTAGTAAACAGTATACACGTTGTCACAACACTAGTACTGTAGTAAACAGTATACACGTGGTCACAACACTATACATTACTGTAGTAAACAGTATACACGTGGTCACGACGCTATACAGTACTGTAGTAAACAGTATACACGTGGTCACAACGCTATACAGTACTGTAGTAAACAGTATACACGTGGTCACGACGCTATACAGTACTGTAGTAAACAGTAAACACGTGGTTACGACGCTATACAGTACTGTAGTAAACAGTAAACACGTCGTCACGACGCTATACAGTACTGTAGTAAACAGTATACACGTGGTCACAACGCTATACATTTCTGTAGTAAACAGTAAACACGTGTTCACAACGCTATACAGTACTGTAGTAAATAGTATACACGTGGTCACAACGCTATACAGTACTGTAAACAGTATACACGTGGTCACAACGCTATACAGTACTGTAGTAAACAGTATACACGTGGTCGCTATAGTACTGTAGTAAACAGTATACACGTGGTCACAACACTATAGTACTATAGTAAACAGTATACACGTGGTCACAACACTATAGTACTATAGTAAACAGTATACACGTGGTCACAACACTATAGTACTGTAGTAAACAGTATACACGTTGTCACAACACTATAGTACTATAGTAAACAGTATACACGTGGTCACAACACTAGTACTATAGTAAACAGTATACGCTTGCACGGATGTTGACTATACGAGTGAGGCACGCCGACTGAGACCGAGCATGGGAGACGATTACCCAGAATCCCGCAGCGAGAGAGAAGAACCATTGGCTCAGTTGTGATCACGTGACGCTCGGCAGACAAAGCGTATACTGTACACGTACACTGCTCGTATTGCAAGACCCTCGCTCGTTCATCAAATTAATATTTATTTACAATTTTTTTTCTCTTCTTGCAAAACACTCGCAGACCAAGTTACTCGCAATCCAAGGTTTCACTGTGTTAGGAAGCCACTGGGGCGATGCGCGTTTCCATCGCCATCGAATTTCTTCAGAACTGCGTTTTGTGTTTTTCACTTTGTTCTTTCCCTGCGCACCTCCCATTTTTTTTTGCTACGTACGGTGCGAAAGAAGTTTAAACGACGTACACATGCCGCAGTCCAAGTCCGATTTTTTTTTTAGTTCCCGTTCAAGCGAGCAGTGAGCCACAGGGTGCCCTCTCGTACCCAGCAGAGCCAGGGTGGAAATTCCACGTTCCCGTGGCGGTGTGGCGGGTTACTCTCCTGCGGTACTCTTCCGTGGGACCGAGCATTGTTGACTTGGCCAAAGAGCGACTTTTTTTTTCCCCCCAAGTAGATTTTTTTTTATAACCAGCTGGGGAACTCTTGAGATGACCAGGGCAAGAGTCTCCGTTGGCAACTTGTTGTCACGAAAATGACAGTGGCGGGGGGTTGTGGGGGAGCAACGTGTATTAAAACGAAGGAAATAGAAAAATCGGAGCAAAAGAAACTCTGTCGCTTGAGAAACGTGTAAACACAAACCCGTGTGTTCTTTCTTTTTTTTTTAAATAATACATTCCCGGGCAGATAGTTTAGACCCATCGTAGCACAAGTGCAACATTAAGTTACAGAAACGGATATGCGGGATGGGCTTGGGGCGGGGGGGGGGCGTGACTGTTCCAGGAATGTGTTAAACAGACAACAATACGTGCCTGTTACACCATTGGAAACCTCATTTGCCAGTAACAATATGATAATTGTTTTTTTTTACCTTTTCGATTTAAAGCTTTCGTGACTGCAAGGATTAATCTTATTTGGTTCTTTCGGTAAAGTCACGTAGAATGAGAATAAAATGATAAATTGATAAAATAAAATAACACAATAAAATTCTCACGACGTTTCGGCCACAACACAAGCGGCCTTCATCAGGTGAAGGGACGAGACTGTCTGGAGGACAGCGCTGGAGCGAAAAAGCCACGTTCAGATCGTGACCTTTAAGCTGTGTGAGAAGAAACAAAGCGCCTTGACAAAGGAATTAGCATTGCATTTAGCATTGAAATGGCTGAGTGATTAGCTTGTGACTGGTCACAGAAATGGCTATGTTAAAGTTAAAGCATACACATCCACAGAGGCACCCCTTGACAAAGGAATTAGCACTTTTTTACAAGGAGTCATGTTTACATTGACCACAATACCTGCGGTCGGAACGCAAACAAAAAACAACTCTGATAATGTATGTGGCACTGTCCTTGAAATTGATTGGTCCACACCCGAGACGGCTTTCTTTAGAGCCTCGTCTCACATGGTGTTGGACCAGTAGACGCCAAAAGGTGTCAGTTTTGTTGCCAGATAAAAGGGTAAAAAAACAATTATCATACATGCCTGTTGTTCATCTCCGGTGACTCTTGAGTAAATAAACAACAGATTATATATATTTTTTCATCATCAAATGCAAGCGATGCCTGGTTTTATCTGCTCCGGATGGATGATGGGCCGTGTCCTCCCCCCCCCCACACCCCATGCCCTCAAACCAGGATTTGACCTCGTGACCCCGTGATTGCGAGCCGTTCTCTGCCTCCCCGCGGCGAGGCTCCCGCCGCGGGGAGCAGGGAACAACAAATATTTTTTGCAATAATCTTCCCACTGATGGCTCCCCCCTTCCCCCGTCCCCCGGCTCCGTTATCTTCCCAGGCCTGCACGCGAGTGGCTCTGCTGTCCCGCGGGCCCTAGGGCTCACTCGGGCCTTAAACGAGTCGTACTCTACCTGCCGGCGGTGTGCACGGACGTCGGCGCTCGCGCTGCCGCCTCGTGCCCCCGCGCACGTTCGTTTTTTTACGCGGTCTGTGCGTGCGCTCCGTGAATGAATCCTGGACCGGTTACTGGGCGCCTCGCCCTAGGTGGACTCGGCCTCCAAACGAGCCGTGCTTTAGTGCGGTGGTTACAAACCAATAGTGCCGGGAAGACGAAGGTGGCAGAGCATGGTGCTGGCCACTCAGTATTTTATTTTATTTTAATCGGTGCTCTCCCAACAGGTTAGTTGTTGAACGCTTTTATTTAACTCGCTCTGTCTGTTGTCGTCGTTGTTGTATCCTCAAATCTTGCAACTCCATTTTAACCCACTTCCCAATGTGGTATCGACTGCAAACTTGGTATGCTTATGTCATGCTGATGACAATGCTATATTCTATCATTACAAAATTTAAATATATATTTTTAAACATTATTTTTTATCTATGTTATGTTTCGGCTTGGGTCTAATTGTCCACGGTCAGCTGACGTTGGCTGTAAATCACCACAGTCCCTTACGTTGTGGCCAAGCTTCGGGGCCACTTCCTGGAGTTCGTGGAGATGAAATGCCATTACTAGTACATTTCACGAAAGCGTGCTTTTTAAATATCATTAACACGTAGGCTTTCGCGACCAATATCATCCATTAGAGGTTTGTTTTGTGTAGGATCGTGTAACTATATAAAACCCGCCACCACCCGACACAGCCAACCAGTAAGCCTGTGTTAGGCCACACGGGGGGGGGATCCTTCTGTCAACCGAGGAGAGGCTCGCGCGGCGTGTGCTAACCACTAGTTCATAGTTCCATTTATTTGGTATAGCCCTGTGAGCCATTCGGCTCTTGAATCGGGTGCAACCGCAACAAACAAAAAAACACGAACAAGAAAACATCTTAAAGTGGCTGTGTGACTGTGCAAACAGAAAATCCAGGAAAAAAAACATCAATATTCCTGAAATAGCACCGTACACCAACGCTGTGTGCAAAAATCCCAGTGGGATGCAAGTCCAACAACAACAACCACAAGACAACTTAGATTAAGGCCATCAGTCTAACTCCTTACTACAATAAACAAAAACATGGCCAAACCAAAAAAACTTTTCGAAATCACCAAAATAAAAGCCATAAATGCAATGTAGCAGTGATCATAGGGACTGTGACCGAATTTTTTACAATAAACTACGTAAATAACATGTAACACCAAACCCTAGAGCCACAGCTGGCTGCATGAGCCACCACCACCACCACCCACCACTGTCTTTGTTGAGCGCGTGTACCCACATGCGACGTTCGCACGTTGGCGTGTCGGAAACTAAAGCCTGAAAAGCAAACGGGAAGTGGCAGAAGAAAAGGGCCCTGCTGGCCGGAGGAGGAGCGCCGTGCAGGGGGGGGTTCAATTTCTGGGCCTGCGGTGGGCCTGCAGGCGAGTGGTGCGGTTTGGTTTGCTCGTCCGGTGTTAGGGGTGCGGGCGGAGTACCTAATTGTGGTTGGGGATGAGTCGAAGTTTGTTCGGGCCAGTGCTAAGGGCTGGTTTGTTTGGTGGTTCGTGTGCTGGTTGGGCGGGGGTGGGCGTTTCTCCTCGATGGTGCACGATGGCTTGCTCCACGTGGGCATCGTGACCAGGCCTGCATCCTGGCTGGCTCACGTGGGTAGGGGGCGAGTATATCACTTTTTTTTTGCTCCCCCCCCCCCCCCCCCCCGGCTATCAGTTCTCCCCCTTTCCGAGAATTGCCTCTCGCACTCTGCCCAGCTGCGAGCGCCGCCCACCACCGCCACCCTGGAACCGCCGGTTCTCTACGCCGGTCGTGAACTCGGGCGACCCCGATCCGGGCAAAGTGCGTCTCGATCACACGGCCAGAAACAACCCCCACTGTGTGTGTGTACACACACACGGCCGTGCGGTAGTGTAGCGGTTAGAACACTGCCCAACCCGGCGACCCCGAATTCGATTTTCTTTCTTGCTCTCGAGGTATCTGAACCGGTCCTGGGGTTTCCCTAGATCTACTCGGCCTTAAAACGGCGTGCCGTGTAAAAATAACGATAATAAAACCCCGCTAGGGAGACCCAGGGGCGGCCGGGCGTGGTGCCGATTAACCCCCCCCCCCCCCTCCGTAGTTGCACCGTGCCGGCGTTTATCGGTGCGGCGGTTGGGGGGGGGGGGTGGAGATGGTCTTGGCTACGCACGGTGAAACCTCCTCGTGTGGCGGAGCGAAGTTGGAACCGGCCGCGGTGTTGGAGTAACCGGGAGGGAGGGAGGGGAGCTGTGACTGACGTTTGTGTGTCCGTGTGGAGGTCGCTTGTATTTCTGCTTGTTTACCCAAACACGCTTTCAGGAGGGCCCTTTGCCAAGTCTTCACCACGTCGGAGGCGATGATTGCTGCGTTTTTTGTTATTTGTTTTGTTGCGATTTTTTTTACACATTTCGGTAATGCTCTGCGGGGGGGCGGGTGGCTGGGGGGTGGGGGGCAATTTGGACCGCGACGCCCGGCGTGTGCGATTGGCTCGTGGGCCGACGCCTGCCGCGTCCGCGCGTGCGTTTCCTGACGCATCACCAACGTTAGTTTTTGTGCTTGTGAAGTTTGCGTGGCCGTACGCACGCGCCATGTGTGCGTCTGTGTACTACGTGACGCTTGTGACATTTGGACGACTGTAACCGGACACCCATCACCACCCCCCCCCCCAGCGCCGGCCTCACGGGTGACATGCAGTGGCAGAAGGCGCCATCTGTCCGTCCGTGTGTCGCCCGCTCGCTCGCTTGTGCGTGCGTTCGTACGAGTCCTTTGTCCCTCCTTGCCTCCTCGATCCCCCCCGTGTCCACTTGTCTGTGTGTTTTGGTCCCTCCATTCTTGCCGGTCCATCCCATCGGTGTGTCCGCGTGTCCGTCCGCCTTGTCCCGTCGCTCCGTCTCCCCGTCCGACCGCACGTGGCGCGATCCCCCGTGGGGTCCGCTTGGTCGGGCCCCCCCCCCCCCCCCCCCCGTGTGCGGCTGCTTCTGAAAAAGAGCCGCGAGGTGGCTTCGTTGGCACCTTACCTGGGAGATAAACAAAAAACTGTGGCCTCCGCTTGGTTGGCACAGCGTGGCTCGCATCGATCTGCGATGCATGAGGGGGGGAGGGGGGGGGGGAATTGGGAGTTCTGCAAACACGTTTTTTTTAATTAATAGTCCCATGGCCTTTGGTTTACTTTACCCAGTGGCTGTTATTTATTTGTGAGGCGTATTGCTGCTGGGTGCATGTGTACTTGGACGTGGGGTCTGTGTGCCCGCTCGGCTGCGTGTCCGTTGGTGCGGCCATGGTGCTGGCCCACCCCCCCTCCCATGTGCCGTGCCGGCCTTCGTAGGTGTCTCCTGTGGGGCGGTGTTCTCTTACAGCAGCACTTGTCCACCCGCCCCCCCCCCCCCATAGCCTAACAAGGGCTATAATAGGGGGGTGAGGGGGGGGTGTTTGTTCTCTTTGTGGGCAGCGGTGGCGTGCAGATACAAACCCCGGCGATCCAGACGGGTCCGCTGGCGAGTCCCGGAACCGATCCTGGGCCTCCTCCCGGTAGCTTGACCTTTGGCCTTTTAAAAAAACAAAAAAGTGAAACGAACGCCTGGTGCGGTGTGTAAAAACATCGGCAGCCGTGCGCGTGGCCTTGACCCGCACCGCCCTCGTCTTGCGCCTGTGTCCCTGTGTGGATTTTTTAACGGGTGCTCGCTAACGTCACACCGTGGCTCCTGCGAGCCGTTTGCTCTGCGGCGACCTTCCTGATTTTTTTGCGTCGGTTGCTCGCTCCTTCGTGGTTCGGGGGTGGGGGCGGTGGCGGGGGGTTGTTGTGACTGCTTGTCCATCCTTCTCTGGGTCTATTTTTAAACGAGTGTACCACCTTGCAGGTGGATCGTCCTGTGGTTGTGGTCATACTCTGCCCCGTCCGTAGGAATGTGGAATTTCCACCACCCGGGCAGCGAACGGGGAAAAAAGCACCAATTCCCCCGATTTTGCTCGTTCAGGAGCAGGGACATCTCTTTGACCCTTGCCTCTACTTGGGCTGCACTTGCCCCAGTGGTCCGTGAGCCAACAGAGACGGGGGTGGGGGGGGAATCTGTGTGTCCGTGTGCGTCCGTGTGCGGCGGCTGTGATTTCTGTTGACCTCCTGCTGCAACACGACGTCCGTCGCGCTCGCGAGCCGCCCGGGAGCCTGCAAACAAACGCAAAATGACGATCGCGCTGCACGCGCGGTGCCCACTGTGTAACGTCGCCACGTCATCGGGGACCACCATCGTCACCGTACGTCCACAGCCTCCATCGTCGCTACCGCCATCGTCGCTACCACCAAAGACAAAGATCCCGACCCCCCCCCCCCCCCACCCTTCCCATGCAGCCACACCGACTGTTGTGGAACTTGACGTGTGGTTTGCGAGCGCCCGGCATTGCTCCTTTAATGAACCCTATGGGCCAGAGTTCGATTCCCAGGCCACGGCTGACCATCAGCGGCAGGGTGATTTTATTGGAATCCGTTCTGCCAACACCACCCGCTTCACACTTTATGGTGAGGTATGGTTAAACAAGGGGGGAGGGACTCATCCAGCAGTTGATTGTAAAAAAAAAAAATTTGGGATGATGGGTGGTGGGGGGGGCGACGACAAATTACTGTGCCACCGTTGACACGGGCGGGATGGACAGAGGGACGCACTCGCAGACCTCCACGGGGACTGTGCAGATCCTCGCCAGGGAATGGACGCACGCATACATGGGCGGGCGGATGTGCGGGCGGCCGGATTGTCGAGGCGAGCGTGGCAGCGGCAGGTGGCCGAGCGTGTGGCGGTGGGCATGGCGAACGTCTGTGGCCGGGGCGTGCGCGCGGTGCGTGTCGCAGTGGGCGAGCACGAGCAGACCGGGTGCAAGGTCGCCGTGAAGATCCTCAACCGGCAGAAGATCCGCAACCTGGACGTGGTGAGCAAAATCAAGCGCGAGATCCAGCACCTCAAGTTCTTCCGCCACCCGCACATCATCAAGCTGTGAGTGCACGCACCGCGCGTGTACGCAAGCACTCGCTCGCACAAGCACACCATCCAACGGCGTACGCACTCGCGTGAGTCATCAAACTGAGCGCACGCACGCAGCTACCCGCGTACCCATCCTCGTGATGCACACGCGCGCACGCTCTCAATGCACTCGGCGTGTGCCGCGTGCGCAGGTACCAGGTGATCAGCACCCCCACCGACTTCTTCATGGTCATGGAGTTTGTGCCGGGAGGGGAGCTCTTTGAGTACATCTGCAGGAACGGGCGCGTGAGTCCATCCCCGCCGCACCTTCCCCGTGCACGCCGTTGGTGACCATGCTGGAACCCTCCGGCTCGTTCTCCACCCCCCCCACTGTTCCCTCGTCGTCCTCGTCGTGTATTTGGGACCAATGGGAAGCGGGGGGGGGGGGAGGTGGCTTCCTCTCTCGTGCTGGGCTCACTGTCTGGAGCGTCGTGCTGTGCAGGGCATCTCGGCCGTCAAAACCTGTGTGTGTGTGTGCGCGCGCGCGCGTAAACGGAGGGAGCGGCGGCGCCGTGGTTAGCGGCGCTGCGCTACGAACCCGGCAGAGCGGAGCTCGATTCCCGCTGCTCGTGGCCAACATTGGTGACGAATTCGTGGACCGATCCTTGGCCTCCCTTTTTAAAGTGAGCCGGCCTTAATTTTACATGTATATATGTATTTACGGAGCCAACCGTAGCTAATCGGAGGTGTGTCAAAGTAATGCAAAAATCGGCACCGGGGGAGATGAGGCAGGCGACTGGCCGGGCATGGCGCTGGCCACACCAAACCCTCATTGCGCCGTGCCAGCCAATCCATAGCTGCTGCTGCTTCGACGAGCCAACAACACTTGCCCCAGCAGTCCGTTACCTCATGCGCCGTGCCAGCCATCCATAGCAGCTGCTGCTGCTGCTGCTGCAGCTTCGACTAGCCAACAACACTTGCCTCAGCAGTCCGTTACCCGATTTTCTTTTTAAGCGCAACCCTGCCAGGCCCACACCCTTGCCCTGCCCCCAGTTGCCGGAACATTGCTCCGCCGGACAGAAAGCTCCCTTCCTCACTCTGCTGCCTGAATTCGGAACTGCCTCCCCGGTGAACAACATTGCCGGCGCCCATCATCACCGATTCTTCTGGTCTTTCGGGCCTTCGAAATCCGAGCACACACCTGGGACATCGCCTAAATTCACCGCACACCTTTTGTAGCGAACCAATGATTCTACCTGATTTATATATATATATTTTTAGATGTTACTTATGTCTGATATGGCTGTTGTTCACAATTGTATCTAATAATACTAAACTGCTAATACGGTGGTAGTAAAGCCTTTTGGTAAAAGCACAAAAAATCGGCACTGGGGAAACTGAGGTGTGGTGCTGGCCACCCATAGCTGCTGCTGCTGCTACTGGCTAACGGCACTTGCCTCAGCAGTCTGTTAAGGCTATAAGTGAGGGTGTGCGTGTGTGGGGAGCGTTAGCGTAGCAGTTGGCGCGCTGCGCTACAAAACCCGGCGACCCGAGGTTCGATTCCCGCTCACGGCCGACGCCACCGGTGACGACTACCTGAACCGGTCCTGGGCCTCCTCCCCAAATTCATCTAGGCCTCAATATCCGGTGCGGTGCGTAAAAATCGCCACTGGGGAGAGAAAAGGCGGCCGGGCGTGGTGCCGGCCACCCACCCCCTCGTGTGCCGTGTCGTGCCGGCCTTCATCGCCGCTACTCGCTAACGGCGCTTGCCCCGGCGGTCAGTAAAGGCCTACACGGGGGTGGGGATCTGTGTCTCCTCCGCACTTCCTGACGACCGTAGGTGGAGGAGCGAGAGGCACGCCGCCTCTTCCAACAGATCCTGTCGGCGGTGGACTACTGCCACCGGCACATGGTGGTCCACCGTGACCTCAAGCCGGAGAATGTGCTCCTCGACGCCAACATGAACGCCAAGATCGCAGACTTTGGTAAGGCCCCGCCGCGTTAGTTCCGGTTTTTTTCCGGTGCTTCTGGCGCCGTTGCGTGCTGAAGCGCACCAAGGTGTGTCGTGGGTTCGATTCCAACCCTGACGATGCCTGCTGCTGTTGCTGTCTATTTTTAGTCTGCGTCTCTCTCATCATCATCATCATCATCACGGTGGCTAGGAGATGTTAACTACCTCGCCTGGTGTACAGGAGGTCGTGGGTTAGATCCCGACCCTGACGATGCCTGCTGCTGCTGCAGTATATTTGGAGTCTGAGTCTCTGTCATCATCATCACGGTGGCTATGAGAGATGTTAACTACCACGCCTGGTGTACAGGAGGTCATGGGTTCGATCCCGACCCTGACGATGCCTGCTGCTGTATATTTGGAGTCTGCGTCTTTCTCTCTCATCATCATCATCACGGTGGCTAGGAGATGTTAACTACCTCGCCTGGTGTACAGGAGGTCGTGGATGCGAACCAGACCCTGACGATGCCTGCTGCTGCTGTATATTTGGAGTTTGCGTCTCTGTCATCATCACGGTGGCTATGAGAGATGTTGACTACCTCGCCTGGTGTACAGGAGGTCGTGGGTTCCATCTACCTATCTCACTCTCTCTCCCCCGTGATGCGTGAATTTCTCTCCCGGGTCCTCCTATTTTTCCCCCCTCCACATTGTAGAATCGACATCGCCGTGCGTTTTAGAGTTTTTTTGGCTGCTGCTATAAATTTCCACACGGTGATGAGCCACATTGAGCTGTCATGAATTATGATACCCAGGTTGCTTCTGAAAAAGATCTACGATGTCGCTTGGTGGTGCCTTACCCGATTTTAAAATAAACAAATACTTTTTATAAAGTTTTTTTTTTCTTCTGGGCTCGTGCCCAGAGTGGCTGTAAGCTTCATTGACGGAGCCTGCAGCTCTCCCCCCCCCCCAGCCCACACCCCACCACTCTCTCTATCTCCTCCCTGGCTCCTCCTCCCCCCCTCTCTTACCTACATAGCCTCTTGTCACAAGCAGCCCTTTTGCCCACTTCAGCAATTGTTTCCTGCTGCGGTTGTCCCCACCTGATGACGGACGCTTGTGTTGCGCCCGAAACGCCGCGTGATTTAAATTTTGATTGAAAGCTTTCCGTGACTGCAGGGATTCATATTCTTGGTTCTTTCGGTAAAGTCACGTTGAAGGGAAATAATAAAATTGTTTTATATATATATTTTATTGTTTCCCTTCAACGTGACCTTTACCGAAAGAACCAAGAATATGTCGTGATTTAATTTACTTTATTTTTCTACTACCTACTACGTGTTGACTTTACCGAAAGAACCCAAAGAGTGTGGATCCCCTGCAGTCACGAAAACTTCAAATCAAGGTTGACCAAAGAGATCCGTCAACAAACGACACCGGCAGAGTTTGGAATTGGTAACTGGTGCCTCGGTGGTCGAGAGAGGGAGAGAGAGAGAGCGGGTCGCGAGTTCGCTCTCTAAACTCCTAAACTGTTGTTTGGTAGAGCCGAGCGGTGATGGAACTCCACCGGGTACCGTCGCCCCGACCGCCCCCCCACGCCCCAGCTGTCTTTTAACTATTTAATCTTAACTCTTTTGATTTTTGCCAGGTGAGATCCACTGAGCTACGTGGATCTTTTTCAGAAGTGACCTGCCCACAAATGTGATGGCTCGGCGAAAGTGGCTTATCACGTGGAAATTTATAGCAGCAGCCAGTTACTCTCTAACCGCATGTCGACTCTAAATGTGGAGGGGGGGGGAAACCGGGAGGACCTGAGCCAAATCCACACGACCACGGGGAGAGAGACGGGCAAGCTGCAAATATACGGCGGTCGGGATCAAAGTCACGAGCTGCATACCAGGCGAGGGAGTTAACATCTCACCGCCCCTGGTCGTGGGTTTGACTTGGCCCATCATCATCATCATCATCCTTCCCAAGGGATGATGAAGCCAGCGGCGCTTTGTGCGGAAGTCCATTTAAAAATGTGGACTTTCCAGCACCCTGGTTCGGGACTATCATGGCTTCTGACGAGATGCCTGGCGTGAGGTGCGCAGTGTTCCACGGCAGGCGTGTTCCCTCCCCCCCCCACCCCTCCCCTTCGTAGGTCTCTCTAACATGATGTCGGACGGGGAGTTCCTGAGCACCAGCTGTGGCTCCCCAAACTACGCTGCCCCAGAGGTCATCTCGGGCAGGTTCGGATGCCCCCACCGCCCACTCCCTCCCCCCAACACCCCTCGCCCACCGCCCACTCCATGCCTCACCTGTCCGTTCCCCTGTCCCGTGGCACTCCCTGTCCGTGTGTTCCTCCTACACCCTCAATGCGAGGTTTCCCTTGTCCCCCGCGTCTCTGCATTTCCTGTCTGCCCATGTAGGTCTGTTCCCGCGTCTCCCCCGTGTGTGTGTGTGTGTCGTCTGCGTATCTCCATGTCTCTGTGTTTGTCTCTCCCCACGTCTCCCCCCCCCCCCCCCCCCCCCCCCCCCGCTTTCCCCGTGTGTCTTCGCGATCCCCCGTGTCTCTCTCACCGTGTCTCGCTACCCCGTGTCTCTCTCCCCCCGTGTCTCTCTCACCCCGCGTATCTCTCCCCCCGCGTGTCTCTCTCCCCCCGCGTGTCTCTCTCCCCCCGCGTGTGTCTCTCTCCCCCCGCGTGTGTCTCTCTCCCCCCGCGTGTGTCTCTCTCTCCCCCCGCGTGTGTCTCTTTCTCTCCCCCGTGTGTCTCTCTCTCCCCCGTGTGTCTCTCTCTCCCCCCGCGTGTCTCTCTCTCCCCCGCGTGTCTCTCTCTCCCCCCGCGTGTGTCTCTCTCTCCCCCCGCGTGTGTCTCTCTCTCCCCCCGCGTGTGTCTCTCTCTCCCCCCGCGTGTGTCTCTCTCTCCCCCCCCGTGTGTGTCTCTCTCCCCCCGCGTGTGTCTCTCTCCCCCCGCGTGTGTCTCTCTCTCTCCCCCCGCGTGTGTCTCTCTCTCTCCCCCCGCGCGTCTCTCTCTCCCCCGCGTTTGTTGTCTCCCCTAACGCGTCGCCGCACTCCGACTCTTGGCACGCTGTCCCCGCCCACCGTGTCCCCCAGGCTGTACGCGGGCCCCGAGGTGGACATCTGGTCGTGCGGCGTGATCCTGTACGCGCTGCTGTGCGGGGCGCTGCCCTTCGACGACACCAACGTCCCCGCGCTGTTCCGCAAGATCCGCGGGGGGGTGTTCCACGTCCCCCCCCACCTCGACGCCGACGCCGCCGACCTCCTCGCCGAGATGCTGCGCGTCGACCCCGTGAAGCGTGCCACCGTGCGCGACATCCAGTACGCACGCACACACACGTGTACCTGTGTGTGTGTGTGTGAGCGCGACATCCAGTACGCACGCACACACACGTGTACCTGTGTGTGTGCGTGAGCGTGATATCCACTACGCGCGCAGACGTGTACCCGTGTGTGTGCACGCATGTGTACAGGATCTCGTGCACACGCGTGTGTGCGGACATGTGTGCTGGATGTCGCGCACACACGTGTGTGTGTGTGTGCGCGTGACTACAGTCCAGATCTGGGCAAAGTCCCATCGGTGAGCTCCTCCGGCAGGCAAGGCTGCGTTGGCTGGGTCATGTAGCCCGCATGCCCAGCCCACCGCATGCCGAAACAGCTTTTGTTCGGCCGGATCGAGGGGGCTAAACGGGCGCGGCACGGGCTAGAGAAGAGATGGAGTGATGTGGTACAGGAGGACGTGGAGCTGAGTGGACTTGCCGATGACTGGTACCAGCGGTGTCAAGATCGGCCTCTGTGGAGGAGGCTCGTGAAGGACGCTGCTGGGCAGTTGGAGGCAGTCGCCCTCCAACAACAACGGAGGGCGGAGGAGCGACGCTCGCAACAACGAGCGGAGCGCCGGGCGGCTAAAGCGCAGTAGGGGGCGCAGTAGGGGGCACAGGTGGTGCATCCAGCCAGTCATCTCGGTCAGTCGACCCGTAGCACCTGCTGGGTCTGCCCCGTGACCTCCTGCCAGCGGGCGTTCGACACTTCACGTGGCCTCAACGTGCACATGGCCTGGCACACGTCACTGCTACTTGGTGGCGATTGCTGTTACTGTGTCGACAGTATTGCTGACCGTGTCTTCCGTGCCCTCCGCCCGTGGTAGCGAGCACCCGTGGTTCCGCGTGGACCTCCCCGAGCACCTCTTCCCCGTGCTGGGCGAGGAGCCCTGGGATGACGACACCCTGGACATGGATGCCGTGGAGGAGGTGTCCGTCAAGTGTGAGTGTAGCCAGGAGGACGTGCTGGACTCTCTCGACTCCGACGACCTCCAGGTGAGTGCGTCCCCTCGCTCGCTTGTCAGTCGGCTCGTTTGTCAGTGTGCGATCGGCCGGGTGGCGACGGTGGCTTCGCCGCTGCCGCTGCTGCTGCTGCTGCTGCGCGCGGCTGCCTGTAGTGATGCAGCAGCGCGGGTTGGTGGATCACCGCGCGCACACACACACGAGGTGTTGTTGTGAAATTCCCTTCCCGTGGGCATCGAGGAGGAGACCCGTACCCCTGGCTCGCCAGGGGAAGGCGGCACAGCAAGTAGGCCAATCGCCGTCTGTGTCCATCTGTACGCGGGGGATCGAGCGTTTCCCCCCTACCGCAAGGCATGCTCCGGTTCCTTCCATGCGTGTATTAAAGTTTAACACGTAGGCTTTCGCGACCCAATATCATCCATTTTAACGGTTTTGGTAATTGCTGGCGAAACGTCGTACTCGGATTTTAAATGTCGGAGCCTGGCTCTCCAACACACAACCGGTGTAGTGCTGTACTAGTAACGAATTGGCGTGTTCTCTTTACGTGACAAACCTTGACTAATTTGCGTGTCGGGTGATGGCGGGTTTAACGACACATTTATTTACACGCTGTAACCCAAAAAAACCTGTAATTAAGTGTGTATAATAGTGAACACTCGACATTGAAAAAGTCTTGTTCATTAATTATTAAAACACAACAAATACTGCTGCTGCAGTAGCAGGGGACCCTCCTACGACCTGTGGCTATCCTGGACAAATAAATGAACAATTTCTATCGCTTATCTTGATTTAGAAGTTTTCGTCACTGCACGAACCCCATACCCTTTTGGTAAAGTCGCCGCGTGACTACGTGGTGACTTTAGCGAAAGAACCACAGAGTATGACTAATGGGAAGTTTGTTTTTTTAATTGGTTCATCGATCGGTCTGCCCAATCCCAACGCGCCCGCTCCACCCGCAGGCGCCCCTGACCGTGGCATACCGCCTGCTGCTGGACAGCCGCCACGCCAAGCCGCTGTACGAAGCTGCGGGGGCGCGAGGGGGCGCCGCTGGGGGGCTGCTGTGGAGCCCCCCGCGTCTCTACCTGCCGCCATGCGACAGCCTCTCCCCCCGCGAAAGGCAAGCGGGGCGAGGGGGAGACCTCCACCACCACCACCACCACGCACAATAAGACAGACAAAGATCCCCCCCTCCCACCCCGTATCGCCTTAACAGACTGTAGGGGCAAGTGTTGTTAGCGAGCACCTTTGAAGGCCGAAACGGCACACGAGGGGGTGGGTTGCCAGCACCACGCCCGGCCGCCTTTGTCTTCCCCTACTGGCGGTGTTTACTACACACCGCAACGGGGGGGGGGGAGGGGTACTCATTTGACACCGGTGACGAATGTCTTGGGGTCGCAGGGCGCAGAGCATCGAGAGCCCGGGGTCGCCGCTGGGCGCCGACGGCCTATCGGGGCGTTGCCCGCTGGGCGCCCTGGACCCCACGCGGCCCAAGCACCTGGTGGTGCAGCGCGCCAAGTGGCACCTCGGCATCCGCAGCCAGAGCCGCCCGGCCGACGTCATGAAGGAGGTGTTCCGCATCATGAAGCACCTCGACTACGAGTGGAAGGTGTGTGCGTGCCTGCGTGCGTGCGTGCGTGGGGGAGGTGACGAAGCCGGTCGCCCGACGGTTCGATTCCCGGTGGCGCGCGTGGCCAGCATCGGTTGGCGACTCCTGAAAGTGCGGACCCTTCGTGCGCTGCGTCAAGAGACTCGGTGCCGGCCACCCCACCCACCACGCCCCCTTGGCGTGGCGTGCCGGCCTTCGCAGACGGCCACGGGCGAGGGGGGGGGAGCGGGGTTGGAAACCACAACGCCTTTTGCGCACGCATGTATATGCGTTGCGCGTGAAACGTGCGTGTGGGTGTGTGGGGGTGTGTGGGCGGTCGCGCGCTGCACTACGAACCCGGCGACCCCGAGGTTCGCTTCCGGCTCGCGGTCAACACCAGGTGACCGCTTATATGGGGGCCCCCCCCCTCCCCTAGGTCGACTCGGCCTCAAACGAGTACCTGTCGCGGCGTGTAAACGCCTTCACGGTGGCGTGCCTTGTCGACAGCAACCCCTTAGCAGCGCCTCGACCTGATTACACACCCATTCGGATGGGTGTGTAATCAGGTCTAAATCTCAACGTTCATCCGACAGTCCCGGCAACGCAAGCCAACGGACAACAAAACTTTCGTTTGGCCGTAATTGCAACGGCAGTACGCCGCATGGGGGACCCCGAGGTACTCGATTTCCCCGCACGAGATTTGCGGGGCGAGCCCGGTAATCGGTTGACGGCTAACGCGCGGCGGTGCTCGCCACACCGACCCGCCCTTGCCGCCGTGCTCGCCTTGCCGGTTGCGCTTCACCCCCAACGAGTCTGCTGTGTTTTAACGCGGTGGTCCGTCGTCCTTTGCAGGTGGTGAACCCGTTTGCCCTACGAGTGCGACGGCGGAACCCCGTGACCGGCAGCACCGTGAAGCTCAGCCTGCAGCTCTACCAGGTGCAGGGCCGCAACTACCTGCTGGACTTCCGCAGCGTGGATGGTGAGTGGCCCCCGCCCCGGCCCGCGGCCCGTCGGCACGGACGAGGGCTGTCGCCGGCGCGTCAAACCTCGCGGCGCCTCGACACCACACACACCGCCAACGCTACGACCGGCCGTGGTGGCACCGATGCGCTAGCTCGCACACCTCTTCACTCCCCCCCCCTACCCCCACACCTCTTCACTCCCCTCCCCCCCCACACCTCTTCACAGAGGAGGGCGCCTCCGGGGGCTCCACGCCCCAGCGGAGCGGCTCGCTGTGCGGCGGCCGTCCCCGCCTCTACACGGACCCCGTGGCCTGCGCCCCGCGCCGCACCGCCGCCCGTCGCCACCAGAGCGGCGACGGCCTCCGTCCCGGCAGCAGCGGCAGCGGCGGCAGCTGCGGCGCCGGCGGCGGCGGCTGCACGGGGATGGCGGCCGCCCCCGGCGTGTACAGCACGACGCTGGCGACCGCCGTGAACCCGGCGCCGGTGTCGCCGGCCAGCCTGCCGCGCTCGCTCGGCACGTACCTGGCGAGCCGCGGCGTCGTCAACGCCTGGGCCACGGGCGACAGCCGGCAGAGCCGGCGCGACGCGGCTCTCGCGCACTTCACCATCGGCGCCGGCTCGAACGCCGCCACCTCCACGTCGTCGTCGTCCGACGCCGGCGTCGCCTCGCCGGAGTCGTCCGGCGGCCACTCGGACGGCGACGCCGCGGCGGCCTCGCCGACGACGTCGCCCGTCCCGGTGTCGCCGACGGCCTACGCCGCCGCGTACAGCCTGCTCGCCGACTCGAAGCCCGGGTCGCCGCCGGGGCCGGCGTTCGGTCCAGCCCACGGGTCCGGCGCCGCCCACGCCGCCGCCGCCGCCGCCGCCACCCCCGCCCAGGGTGGGCAGCACCACCATCGAGTTCTTCGAGATGTGCCACGACCTCATCAAGCTGCTGGCGCACTGACGCCAGGACCCTGGCCGCTGAGTCTCGGGCGGCTACCGGGCTGTCGGCAGGTGGTGGTTGCCGGTGGTGTTTGTGGTGCTGGGGGGGGGGGGGGGATGGTGGCGGAGGCGGTGGTGCGTGGTGCGGTGCTGCTGCGTTGTTGTTGCGAGTTTTTCCCGGGGCTTGTTTCTTCAACGCGAGCCGCGTGGACCGGAGTAGGAGGAGGGGGGGGCGGTCACAGTGGGTCGACCCCAGGCAACGCTAACGACAGCTCGTTGATTTAATCGGGTTTATATTTTTTGTGATAATGGGTTCCTCCCCAACTTCGATGCGATTCGGTTCACGTGACGCCTGCACAGCCGCCTCCGTTCACCGTGATGTAAAAAAGTAAAATCTCCCGTGCCCGTGCCGAATCGTGGCAACGCGCGCCATCTCCCGGTGCGCGACATCCGCTTTGCCAAACGCGAAACGCCAACATTCGTGCCGTAACTTAATGTTTTTTTTTAAGTCCTGTTCCGCCATGCCTTCGTCTGCAGCGGGGTCCGGTCACCCGTCCTGCGCTCGGCGTTTTCGGTCGTTGCGCGTGGCTTGTGGCTCCCCTGATTATTATTATTATTATATAAAAAAAAAACAATTTGAGGAGCGACCTTCCCCGTGGTGTTCGGAACAAAGAGTTGGGTGGACCCTGGCGACGACTCGATCGGTCCGTGTGGCGGGCCTCGGGAGCTGCTTCCTCGCCTCGCTGCTGCGTCCCCCCACCGTGCGCTCCCCGCCCCCCCCCCCCCCAACCTTTTACCGGCTTTACTCACGTGCCAAAAATTAATCACAATTGTGCCATGATTGTCGTTCAACGACCAATCTGCAAGTGGCTTGTCTGCCCCCCCCCCCCCACACACCCTCTTCCGCGACACCGGTTTCTGGTCTTAAAACCTGGTGCCCCGCAACGGGGGCTTGGCAAATGCTCGGCCACAAACCGGTTGTCGCCCGGGGTGACCTGCCGTGTGCGCGTGTGGTACAGCGTGGGGCAGGAGGGAGGGGGGGGGGAGCGGGTTTGCCGGTTAGCCGACCGGTGGATGGATCGGTCGGTTGGGTTTGTGTCGTGGTTGTTTTTGTAAGCAAGGAGGTAACTGGTGTCGTCGGATAAATCCCCTTTAGTCGCATCGAGCAGCTTTGTGCAATCCCGCTATGTCCCAAGTCGTTGGTCGGTTACCGATTTTTAGTCGCGTTCAAACCGGTGAAGTCGGTCGGACGGGGTAACTTTGCTCGCCCGGTTGGTTGGTTAACTTGTCAAGAAGATTGACCATGTCTAACGGTTAACCGTGTAAACATGTTGGCGTCTTGGCTGGCTCATCGGTTACCCGGGTGGATGTTTATTTTCGAGCTCATTTTGCTAGTTCCGTGGTTATCTGGTTGCTTCTTGCTAGGTCGGGATTCTCAGTTCCCCACGTCCTGGCTGGTCCTAGCACGGGTTACCTGATTGCTTGTGAAACTGACTCATCTGGTCGGTTAAGACTGCCGGTTTAGTGGCTAATGTGTAGGTCTGCTTACCTGATTATCTGTAACTTTTTGCTTATCCTGTAGGACTGGTTACTTGGTAATTTGCAAGACGCATTGTTCTGGTTCTAGGTGTAGCGCTGGTTACCTGCCAATGTTTATATAACCGGTGACTTGGCTATGTGTAGCAAGTCGTCTCTTACTTGGCCAATTGGAAGACCTGATTATCTGGAGGACTGGGGACGCTGCATGGTAGGGTTAGGCCTTTGTAAAGGGGGCGATCTCTCAGTGATGGCACAGTCCGTCCGTCTGTCTGTGCGTCTCTCTCTCTCGAACGTCACGGACCCCCGAGGCTCCTGTGAAATCGATCGATCGCCAAGGCTGACGACGACCCGGTGCTCAAAAGCGCAAGGCCTTCTTCTTCATCCCAAGCACTTTAAAAAACAAACTAAACTAAAACTGTGTAAATATTAATTAAAGTAGCATCATGTTTGTTCCCGCACCCCCCCCCCCCCCTCGTTTCTCTTTCGTACGGAAGCGTTGCGACTTGGTTGCCGAATCATTTCAACGCAATCGCCGGCGCGCGGTGAATCGAGGCCGCCGAGTTGACTGCTCAAGATCATTTCTTTTTTTTTTGGTCACGTGTGCGGCGGCGCGTTTCTCGGGGTGAAAACTTTTATTTTTTTCTACCGGCGTCGTGTGTCTGGTCGATGCGATCCACCGCCTCGTGTGTGCACGGCGACTCCTCGTGTAAAAACTCCTATCAGGTGGTGGCGCTCGGTGTAAGAAGATCCCCCCTCAAGGCTCCCCAAGTCGCTGTCGGGACCCCCACCCCTCTGAGGGGTGAAACGAACATCGTCCCGAATCGAAATCCTAGCAGCCAACCAAGATGATGGACAAAACACACAAATATAACCTCCCGTCCTCTATCCGTTGTCTGAAGCTCATCTCTTGTTCGTCTTTGCCTCTATCGCTCCTCTCGCTGCATCCGTCTTGACCATCGCCCCCCCCCGGGGTGGGGGGCGGGGGTAGCCCCCCACCCCCCCCCCCCCCCCGCCATCCAACACCACGACCACGAGGACGGAGTCGTGGCTGTGGTGCGGGAGGCTAAGACTTTGCGTGCAACCCGGGGGGGGGGGGGTTGGCGGATCGCACCGCAGACTCTTCACAGCCGCCCTCCCCCGGAGATGCCTCGACAAGTCTCCCCCTCCCCTCCCCCGCCCCCCCTAACCCAATACTCCTATTTGTGCGTTCAAGAGGGTTTCCTGTTCCTGCGTTGGCGGGGACGTTTTGGGCCACTTCCTGCCACAGGGACGCTGCTCGACGTCTGAACCTGCCCCGTGATCCCACTTGCTGTGCTGCCCGCTATCCTACTCGCTATGCTGCCCGCTATCCCACTTGCTGTGCTGCCCGCGATCCCACTCGCTGTGCTGCCCGCTATCCCACTTGCTGTGCTGCCCGCTATCCTACTTGCTATGCTGCCCGCGATCCCACTCGCTATGCTGCCCTGCCCGCGATCCTACTTGCTGTGCTGCCCGCGATCCCACTTGCTGTGCTGCCCGCGATCCTACTCGCTGTGCTGCCCGCGATCCTACTCGCTGTGCTGCCCGCTATCCTACTCGCTGTGCTGCCCGCTATCCTACTCGCTGTGCTGCCCGCTATCCTACTTGCTGTGCTGCCCGCTATCCTACTTGCTATGCTGCCCGCGATCCTACTTGCTGTGCTGCCCGCTATCCTACTTGCTATGCTGCCCGCGATCCTACTCGCTGTGCTGCCCGCGATCCTACTCGCTGTGCTGCCCGTGATCCTACTCGCTGTGCTGCCCGCGATCCTACTTGCTGTGCTGCCTGCGATCCCACTTGCTGTGCTGCCCGCGATCCCACTTGCTGTGCTGTCCGCCGCGGGTTGGCACAGCCCTGGGGCAAGCTCGCTCGCTCGCTCGTCCCCCGCTCTGTCCGCCAACCCCATGGGGGGGGGGGGGTTGTCGTTGCGTCTCTGCGAGAGTTCCCCACTTTGTCAGCCGCAGGTCCGTCATGGCCCCCCCCCCCCCCTCCCCCAGGGTCTCGCTGCGTTTTGGTTCAAAAATCCACCTTGGGGTGGTGGCTGCTGTCGGCTCGAGGAGAGAAGCGGTCTCTCTCCGACAGGTCGGGAGCTAAGGTTGGAGCCCTGGGTTGAGGGTGGCGATTTGAGAAACAATTCTTAGATGGTCGGTTTAGTCGAGGACTGTACACGGTGGTTGTTTTTTTTTTAAATATCACTTTTGGTACGGAATATATATGTGAAAAAAAGAACAAACCCCTAAATTAATTGCTATCAATGCATGTAAGATAAATATTGTCTACGATTTCAAAATAAATATATATTCTTAATGTGTTATACAAAAAATGTGAACAAATTTTTTGCATCCTATGCTGTGCTGTGCTATTCAATTTACTGGTTTGGAGAAATGAAAAAAAATGTTGAGCACCGTTTAAATATAACCCCCCCTCCCCCTTTTTGTTTTTATTGCGTAATGGTTTAGTCCGAGGGGCCCAGCTGCTTGTGGCTACGGATGGGTGAGGATGGATCCATTTGAATGTGGGGGGCACTGGTATCCCAAATGAAAGTGTGCGGATCCTGCCACCTCAGTCCTCTCCCAATACTAATCAAGGGGCGCTTGGACTGTACCATCTCGTTACTCGGTGGGGGGTTGGGGGGGGTTGATGGGTCACACGCTGTGCTGTGCTTTATAAAGTCCACTCCAGGTTGTCGGGATATTTTTGAATGTTTTTTTGACACGCGAATGTAAAGACGGTGAATTGATCAAAAAGGGCTTGTGGAACGGTTAATTAAAATGCAAAGAAAGTCTGTGTCGTCATTTCTATATTTTTTTAAATGTAACTTTAATCAGGCATCCCTCTCTTGACACTTGCCCGCCTTGTGGCGCTGTTCTCTGGTCTATCTGGTGGTGAGAGGAGGCCACATTTAAAGAAGGCCGTCTCTGGTGTAGGCAAATCCGTTAAAAAAAAACGTTGTCAGAGCATGTTCGCAACCAATATTCATGAAAAAAGTTTTTTTGTTTTAAATCGTGTAAGTATAAATGTGTCCGTAACCCTCCACCACACGACGCAGCCAATTATTAGTAATGGGATTTGTCACCGTAAATAAAACGTGCCAATAAAGTGACGACTTCAGCCCACCCGGTGTGTTGGAGAGTGTAAATCCACAACATTTACAATATGGAGTACGACGTTTCGCTGGTGACCTTCATCGAAGCCGGCACGGCGGATCCATTTTTAGCTGAGCCCAGGCCCATTTGCACGTGCGTCGGGAGTTCGGGCTCTCCCTTCCGTACATCAAATAAAAGGGTGAAAACCCCGTTGAGGCATGAGGGGCCAACCTATATGCGATGAGGACGCCCGCAATAAACGGGTCCCAGCCCGGCTGGGTCGCGTTCAATTGGTGGCACAGCATGGACGCGAGTGTACCATTTAAACGCTCCATCCCATCGGGTTTGGGGGTTGGTAGGGCGAGGTACGGATTTGCTTTGTACCGAGGAGGTCACAGACCTTGTTGGAACAGTCGAAGAACAATTCCGACCCTGGTCGGTCAGAAGCTGCTCGGGTGTGCATCCTTACCTAAAATGTCGCCGTGCAAACAAAAAAAAAGCATCTGTGATGGACGAGGTCAACTGATCTTGTAAGGGCCACGCCATGGGCCAGCGCGTGAGGTACTCGACCCCAACCAACAGATACTTGTGGCCTCGCCGAGAAGTTGGGAATGGGCCCAAAACGTCAAGGGCCACAAGTTCGTTGACGCCAGAAACCTGTGGGACTGCAGCGGGGGGGGGGGGGGGGGGGGCGGAGGCGTCCGACGCGCGCAATCCTGGCAGCCCGTGGCAAATAGCGCCACGTCGCTTTCCATGCCCGGCCAGTAGTAGCCCCGCGTTAACGGTCCACACGGTTTTCGTGGGTCCCGAGGTGCATCAATTTCTCGTGAATTACACGAGTCGAGTTTCCCCCCCCCCCCGGACGGGTGTGAGCACCACAATACAGAACCCCCCTCCAGCTCTGCGCCCCAACGCATGAGACCGGCACGCAGGGCAACGGCCGGGTCGGCCGTCGGGCTCGACTCTGGGCGTAATGGTTGCCAGATTTAACCTTGGTCTCCCTCGCGAGGGAGGCAGCTGGGCGCACCTCTAAGAAGAGCCGCGTCGGTCGGCCGTCGCCACCAACCGGAGCCCTGCAACGGCTCGAGCCAGTCGTGCCGTGCACTGCACTGCACGCCGACTTGGCCTGTGGCAACCGAGATGAGGCGTCGGCATGCTGTGCCCCCTTCACGTGAATGACGTTGAACGCACACTCCTACGGCGCCTCAAGCCAGCGGGACAGCTGACCTGAGGGGTTGATCGATGCGCGGGGAGCATTGTAAGGCGGCGTGGTCCGTCCGTACGATGAACCGCCTGCCACACAAGACGGGCCTAGACAACTGGATGACGTACACAATCTTCTTGGGTTCTTTCGGTAAAGTCACGTAGAATGAGAATAAAATAATAAAATTCTCACGACGTTTCGGCCACAACGCAAGCGGCCGTCTTCAGGTGAAAGGTACAGACCTGTCGGGACGACAGAGCTTCAATGAACGATGTTAAGATTCGTAGCGACTTTTAAGCTGGTTGAGAGAAGTGAGGCACCTTGACAAAGGGGTTTACATATCAAATAGCTGAGGGATTAGCTTGTGACGTACACAATGGCAAGTCGTTATTTTTTTGTTATTTTCTTTGAGCCGATCTACGTGACTTTACCGAAAGACCCAAGAATATAAATGTGTCGCGGCACAGCTATTGTCTTCGTTGAGGGATTTTGTGGCGGGACAGTGAGACCAGTTTGAGGCTTTTGAAAGGGCAGCCTTAAATGTGACAGCTGTCTCTCAGTCGTAAGAGCAGGATCTTCAGCGAAAGAGTAAACTAAAAACATTTGCCGGTGAGCGTTCGGAGCCAGGTGTGACACTTGAGGGGAGGGAGAAGTTCAAAATAGAAACATTCTACGTGGTCATTGATAAGCTAGTGGCATGCCTTGAACATCGCTTGGACGTGTACAAGCGTTTGACCGGTCTGTTAATGTCAAATCAGGTGTCTAACAGTGATGTCACAGTAGAAAAGGTAAATGCACTGTCCGCTGCATATCCATCAGACCTGGACGTGGACTTCGCCAACGAACTCATCCAATTCTCAAGTCTTCCATGTCTGACTCTTGAGGGTGAGAAGTGCCCAACTAAATTGCCCGAGACGTTGCAGGGGGCACATCGTCTGCTAGTCGGCGTTCCCCAATGTTTTCGTGGCACTTCGGGATTTTTGCCAGCGACAAACTGCCAGGGTGGAGCGGATATTTTCCCTTTTGAGGCAGAATCAAAAACCCAGCTGCGGAGTTGTCATAGAGCCAGACCTTGTCAGACAGCGAGATTTTGACGATCTCGTGGATGATTTTGCGAGGAGGAAAGCCTAGAAAGACACCAATAAAGGAAAGCGTGTTGGACCATGATCCGGCCCTGGCTACAGGCCCCGGCACTAGCTCCATCCGGCACTCGCTCCGAGCCGATTGCGGATCTTCCAAGGACTGCTTCGCGACGTTCCGGCGGATTACCACCACCCCGACCCCACCCCTCCTCTTAACGACGGTAATCGGGTTCCAGCAAAGCGGCCGTTAGGTGGTTTAGTCGTTAAGCGAGTATGGGAAATGCGCGTTAAAGGCAAGATTCGTCTCAGGCAGCATCGAAAGTTACCCCCGCTCACCTCGCCTTTTCTCACCCAAGATGACGTACTTCACGACACTTGAACAAATGGACAATAGATGAAGATGCTACCATCAATATAAGCACAGTAGTAGAAAAGTGGTTAATCAATGCATTGTTATTTACTGTACTGACAACAGCCCATCGTTAACAGGGGGATGGTAGGTAAGCGAACATTGGGCTCTATGGAGACACTACACTACTATACACCACTACATTACACATTGGGCTCTATGGAGACACTATACACTACTATACACTACATTACACTACACATTGGGCTCTATGGAGACACTACACTACTATACACTACACTATTCATTGGGCTCTATGGAGGCACTACACTACTAGACACTACACTACTATACACTACACTATACATTGGGCTCTGGAGACACCACTACTATACACTACATTATACACTACACCACTATACATTGGGCTCTATGGAGACACTACACTACTATACACTACACTATACACTACACCACTATACATTGGGCTCTATGGAGACACCACTACTATACACTACACTATACACTACATCACTATACATTGGGCTCTATGGAGACTATACACTACTATACACTACACATTACAATACACTACACATTGGGCTCTATGGAGACACTACACTACTATACACTACATTATACACTACACCACTATAAATTAAGCTCTATGGAGACACCACACTACTATACACTACACTTTACACTACACATTAGGCTCTATGGAGACACTGCACTACTATACACTACTATACATTGGGCTCTATGGAGACAATACACTACTATACATTGGGTTCTATGGAGACACTACACTACTATACACTACACTATACACTACTATACATTGAGCTCTATGGAGACACTACACTACTATACACTACACTATTCATTGGGCTCTGGAGACACTACACTACTATACACAACATTGGGCTCTATGGAGACACTACACTACTATACACTACTACATTGGGCTGTATGGAGACACTACTATACACTCCTATACATTGGGCTCTATGAAAACACTACACTACTATACACTACACTATACACTACTATACATTGGGCTGTATGGAGACACTACACTACTATACATTGGGCTCTATGGAGACACTACACTACTATACACTATACATTGGGCTCTATGGAGACACCACTACTATACACTACTATATACTGGGCTCTATGGAGACACTACACTACTATACACTACATTGGGCTCTATGGAGACACCACTACTATACACTACACTATACACTACATTGGGCTCTATGGAGACACTACACTACTATACACTACACTATTCATTGGGCTCTATGGAGACACTACACTACTATACACAACATTGGGCTCTATGGAGACACTACACTACTATACACTACTACATTGGGCTGTATGGAGACACTACTATACACTCCTATACATTGGGCTCTATGGAGACACTACACTACTATACACTACACTATACACTACTATACATTGGGCTGTATGGAGACACTACACTACTATACATTGGGCTCTATGGAGACACTACACTACTATACACTATACATTGGGCTCTATGGAGACACCACTACTATACACTACTATATACTGGGCTCTATGGAGACACTACACTACTATACACTACATTGGGCTCTATGGAGACACCACTACTATACACTACACTATACACTACATTGGGCTCTATGGAGACACTACACTACTATACACTACACATTGGGCTCTATGGAGGCCCGTCGTGAATTGGTCGCTAACACATTCATTGCGGCTCAATATATTAGTTTTATTTTTTTACCGAACTGCTCTTGGACCAGAGCAGCCTCACAATTTACCGAGCAATGCTCCCTGGGGGATCACAAAAGCGGAGCCAAGGGGGAAATCATCCCCCCCCCCCAAATCATCCCCCCCCCCCAAATCAAATCACGGCCTGTTGCAACACACCTCAGGACTGTAAGCAAACCCCGAACCCATGACGGCTCGGCAGTCTCGAGGATCCTGGGAATTGTTTTTATTAATGCACACACTATCACCGTCATCACGTTATGTACACTTCTTGAAGAAAAAAAAAAAGAAAATCCGAGCAAAAGAAACGTCGTGGAGTCGGGCGCAAAAGAGGCATCCGGGCCAAAATCCAAAGCGACTTTCCTCACGCGCGCAACACGGGGACAACTCTCCTGGCGACACAACCCAGGGAGACGACACGCACGCACACGCACGCACGCACACGCACGCACACGCACGCACACACACGCGCGCACGCACGCGCACGCACGCGCACGCGCACGCACGCGCACGCACACACACGCGCACACGCACCTGTCTCAGAATCAACAGACTCAACACACAGTCCTACACCAAACTCGGCTCCCCGTCATACACGTCCACTTGTGCGGTGGTGACGCCGGTGACGACCATGGCCATCGAGATATATAAAATATCTCTGAGACCATTTGGATTGTGGGTGGTGATGGTGGGTGGGGGGGGGTCCACATGATGCACTGTGGCTCCCCATCAGCCCTCACGGGTTCAACCATGGCAACTTGCCTCCAAACTTCAAACTGGCTTTGCCCAGCACGGCGACCCCGAAGAATATTTCCGCACCCAGCAAACCGCATTCGGTAAGCCCCTCTTGCCGCGGCTACTAGTCGCCTGACACCTTCCGATCTACTAAATGACCTTGTAATTAATCAGTGACGAATTAAGCCGTAGGGCACACCACATCGATTAAACCTCATCGTGGCTGTGCCTATTATTATTATGTGCCACCTACTCCAGCCTATCAGCGACCCGAACGAAAGTTGACAAAATAAGAATCCCCCGATGACGAGGCTTCCCCGGGCTCCTCGCCTCTTCTCGATCGAACGTCGCAACAGAGGGGCGGGCGGGCGGGCGGGTGGGCGGGCGGGCGACCCGCGGAGCAAAGGAGAGACAGCGACGGGAGTCGTCGGGGGAGCGCTCGGCTGCACGGCGTCGAGTCCGTGCCGTTCACGCGCGAGTCCACGCCACGGACGGCGGCCGCGGCCTTTGCGGACAGGTAAACCTCATTACCTAGGAAGTTCCCCTTGCTCTGCCCGTGTTGCTCCAAAGGGCCAGGGATTTGGCGAACCTCGACACTCTGCTGGGGTCGCCGGGAGTGGCGATGGCGAGGTCACGGGTAGGAGGTGACAGCTTCACTCGTCGGGAGGAGGAGGAGGAGGGGGGGGGGCTGAATCACGGGTGGAGGCGGTTGTGGGTTTACAAGATGGCGGCGGGGGTGGGGTCACAGGTAGACACGGCGGAGGTCGCGAGGCGACGTGATGGCGTTACAGCGAGGGCACAGCTTCTTGGCACCCTGGGGGAGGCAGGGAAATGGTGGTCACACGGTTGTCAGATGGTAAACACCGGCGTGTTGTGAGCAATGCCATTGGGAGGGGGGCGCCGGGGGAGGAGGCTGACGCTAATTTGCTCATTATCTTCATAGCGTTCACGACGACTAAAGTGACGAACGTGCGAGGGGCTGTTAGCCCCTCCACCTTCAATAAATGACCAAAAACAATACAGAAAGACGAAACTCGAGAGAAGCTTTCTGGGTATTTTGACAAAATGTGGATCCTGATGGCAGCAGAGAACCGTCTAGTCTTGACGTCAGGGGGACCTTTACCGTCCACTGTGGAGCAGACGATGCGGACTATCACCAGTGCCGGATTACGCTCGTAACAAAAGTAGCTACAACATATGTAGCAGCTACTACTACATATGTAGCACCTACTACATATGTAGCACCTACTACATATGTAGCAGCTACTACATATGTAGTAGTAGCTACTACTACATGTGTAGTAGCTACGGCCTCGCACTTTCAAGGACCCCCGAGCTAAATGCTTTCAAGCTATCAATTCCGGTTCAGTAATTCTGCACCAGCTCTATTACTATAGTACTATACCGCCTTCGACTTTTACGAACGACCGGGTGTTTATGCTTAGCGATTTGTCGTATTATCTCGCCGTACAGCAAATAAAAAAATACGATTACTTTACCGTGCAAGTAAAAAAATGTATGTGTTTGAATATTTACGTGTTTTTTTTTATTTAGGGCCCCTTTATAACATAATGCTACGGGCCCCGCACTAGCTTACTCTGCCACTGGGTGTTATTAGGGTTATTGTACCCGCAGTAATAACTGGCAAAGCCGCTCGATTCGAACCGTGAACCTTGGCAACAGGTGGCGAACGCGCTGCCGATGGGCTGCGTCACCGCAACCGTTTGTGTGCGTGCGTCGTGCGTGCGGGTGTACGCAGTGCTTGGCTAATCACCAGTGAACGCAGCCAACACTCCTCACAGTGCACGTGCCAGCACTGCACGGACACCAGCGGCTGAGTGTAAGGCTCCTGCAAAGACAAAGATCCCCCGTGTAGCCTTAACAGACTGTTCGGGGCAAGTGCTGTTAGCTAGCGCCTGTTCTCACACACACACGTGTAGTGACAAAAAGACAGATCTCCCATGTAGCCTTAACAGACTGTTGGGGCAAGTGCTGTTAGCTAGCGCCTGTTCTCACACACACACACGTGTCATGACAAAAAGACACAGATCTCCCATGTAGCCTTAACAGACTGTTCGGGGCAAGTGCTGTTAGCTAGCGCCTGTTCTCACACACACACACATGTAGTGACAAAAAGACACAGATCCCCCGTGTAGCCTTAACAGGCTGTTCGGGGCAAGTGCTGTTAACTAGCGCCTGTTCTCACACACACACACACGTGTAATGACAAAAAGACACAGATCCCCCGTGTAGCCTTAACAGACTGTTCGGGGCAAGTGCTGTTAACTAGCGCCTGTTCTCACACACACACACACGTGTAATGACAAAAAGACACAGATCTCCCATGTAGCCTTAACAGACTGTTCGGGGCAAGTGCTGTTAGCTAGTGCCTGCTCTCACACACATACACACACACACGTGTAGTGACAAAAAGACACAGATCTCCCATGTAGCCTTAACAGACTGTTGGGGCAGGTGCTGTTAGCGTGTAGCACCTATGAAGGCCGGCACGGCGCACGAGGAGGTGGTATGGCCAGAACACCCAGCTGGCTTCCTCTCCCCAGTGCTGATGTTTTCAGATTGCACCGGGCATTCATTTAAGGCCGAGTCGGCCATTGATGCTAATTCACAAAGACAAAGATCCCCCGTATAGCCTTAACAGACTGCTGGGACAAGTGCCGTTCGTGGGTAGCACCTACATACATCCAAATTCACACAAGTGCACAAACACACACGTACTACGACACGTATCCACACTCACGTTTTGCGTGTACAGGAATTGTCAATTAAGGGTTTTGAGATTTTATGCAGGAATTAAAACATTTCCACATTGTAGTTTGCTGCGGTGCCTCTCCAGGCTGCAGGGGTCACGTGGAATAAACACAAACGTACGAATCGACACACCCTCAACACCTCATCAAGACCCGCATATTTACAACAGGGGCAAGCAACAGCAGCCCACCGCTGCTTGACGACAATGTCACCAGTAGCTGGTGCCACGTAAACGTGCAAGAGACTCGCCATGCATATGAGGCAGTGGTAGCGGTCTCCTCTCTCCACCAGCCTCTCCAGCTCCTGAACCCGAGCCTTCAGCGCCTGGATCATCACACCGCTGGAGCTGCTGCCCGGCCTGAAAGCAGAAGGGAAAAAGTGGCGCCCACTGACCACTCGCCCACTGCCAGCCTTTACAACAACAGGGCCGCTAGGTCTTCCGGGTGGACTTTCCGCCGGTTATTTGCCGAGCCGAGCCAGATGGGAATCGTGATACGCCGGCGGCCTCAGGTGACTGCTCAATCTGGCTTGGTGACAGCGCAATCCGACAGCTCCATCTACAGCAGGGGTGGGGAACCTTTTTTCTGCCAAGGGCCATTTGGGTATTTAGAACATCATTCGCGGGCCATACAAAATTGTCGTTTCAAAAATGAGCCTGTTATATTTGGTCAGACATTTCATTAACGCGCCCCTAATGTGATGGCTGGAACCCTGATCTACAGCGTCCATCCAAGCACCATCAAGGCTCAAGATCTGGATAAGATTGGTCACATTCCAGCTGATTTGGTCAGAGGCACAAATACAATTATCCTCCATCTAACCCTACACAGGCCATTGGGGCGAGTACTGTTAGTGCGCACCCATCAAGGCCGGTGCGGGGCACGGCCGGGTGGTGTGGCTAGCACCACCGTGATGATGTTTACACACCGTGACAGGCAGGCACTCATTAGGGGAGATGACTGACACACACACACAAAGACAAAGATCCCCCGTGTAGCCTTAACAAACTGTTGGGGCAAGTGCTGTTAGCTGGCACCTATGAAGGCCGGCACGGCACACGAGGGGGTGTGTGGCCAGCACCACGCCCGACCGCCTTTGTCTCCCCCGTGGCGATATTTACACACCGCACCGGGTACTCATTTGAGGCCGAGTCGACCTGGGGGAGGCACAGGACCGGTTCAGATAATCGCCACCGTTGTTGGCCATGAGCGGGAATCGAACTCGGGTCGCTGAGTTCGTAGCGCAGTGCGCTAAACGCTACACCACCGCTCCCCAGAAACACACACGCGTGCGCGCGCGGACACACACACCCGCACACGCGCACACACACACACACACACGCGCACACACACGCACACACACGCACACACACGCACACACACACACGCCAGGCGTTTGTGCCGTCCCTCACCTGTGGATGTCGCTGTTGCGCTGCGTCCTGCTCTTCTCGCTGCTCCCTGCGGCGCTGCTCGTAGACGGAATGTCGTCTGTGGGGGTCGCGGTGGAACCAAAAGAGTTGTCGCAAACAGAGCGCAAAATCAAGACGGGCGTGTAGGTGAGCGTGGACGTGAGCGTGTATGTAAGCGTGTAGGTGTGTGTGTATGTGAGTGTATGTGAGAGTGTACGTGACCGTGTGCGTGTACGTGTGCGTGTATGTGTACGTGTGCGTGTACGTGTGCGTGTACGTGTGCGTGTACGTGTGTACGTGCACGTGCGTACGTGCGCGTGCGTACGTGTGTGCGTTACGTGCGTGTGTACGTGTGTGTGTACATGTGCGTGTACGTGTGTGTACGTGTGCGTGTACATGTGCGTGTACATGTGCGTGTACATGTGCGTGTACGTGTGTGCACTTGGAACCCACCCTCTGGTCGCTCCCACTTCGGAGGTTCTCCACTCAGCCTCGCACAGGGGACATCTCCACTGCACACGCGTACGTACACAGTCACGCACGCACACGTGTTCACACGTGTTCACACGTGTTCACACACGTACACAGTCACGCACGCACACGTGTTCACACACGTACAGTCACGCACACACACGTGTTCACACGTGTTCACACGTGTTCACACACATACACAGTCACGCACACACACGTGTTCACACACGTACACAGTCACGCGCACACACGTGTTCACACGTGTTCACACACGTACACAGTACAGTCACGCACGCACACGTGTTCACACGTGTTCACACGTGTTCACACACGTACACAGTCACGCACACACACGTGTTCACACACGTACACAGTCACGCACACACACGTGTTCACACGTGTTCACACACGTACACAGTCACGCACGCACACGTGTTCACACACGTACAGTCACGCACGCACACGTGTTCACACACGTACACAGTCACGCACGCACACGTGTTCACACATGTACAGTCACGCACGCACACGTGTTCACACACAAACACAGTCACGCACGCACACGTGTTCACACACGTACACAGTCACGCACGCACACGTGTTCACACGCGTAGTCACACACGCACACGTGTTCACACGCGTACAGTCACGCACGTGCACCCACTCGTACACGTGCATACGTGCCACTGCACCCACGGCGTGTGCGTTACAGGGTGGCATCAATCATGTGTAAGTTAGGGGAAGACTCTGGGGGATTATTGTAGGGGTCAGTGTTAGGGTTAGACCCAGGGGGATCATTGTAGGGGTCAGTGTTAGGGGTCAGTGTTAGGGGTGGACCCAGGGGGATCATTGTAGGGGTGAGTGTTAGGGAGTAGACCCAGGGGGATTATTGTAGGGGTCAGTGTTAGGGGTCAGTGTTAGGGGTAGACCCAGGGGGATTATTGTAGGGGTCAGTGTTAGGGGTAGACCCAGGGGGATTATTGTAGGGGTCAGTGTTAGGGGTAGACCCAGGGGGGTCATTGTATGGGTCAGTGTTAGGGGGTAGACCCAGGGGGATTATTGTAGGGGTCAGTGTTAGGGGGTAGACCCAGGGGGGTCATTGTAGGGGTCAGTGTTAGGGGTAGACCCAGGGTAATCATTGTAGGGGTCATTGTAGGGGTAGACCCAGGGAGATCATTGTATGGGTCAGTGATAGGGGTCAGTGTTAGGGGTAGACCCAGGGGAATCATTGTAGGGGTCATTGTAGGGGTAGACCCAGGGGGATCATTGTAGGGGTCAGTGTTAGGGGTAGACCCAGGGGGATCATTGTAGGGGTCATTGTAGGGGTAGACCCAGGGGGATCATTGTAGGGGTCAGTGATAGGGGTCAGTTTTAGGGGTAGGCCAGGGGGATCATTGTAGGGGTCATTGTAGGGGTAGACCCAGGGGGATCATTGTAGGGGTCAGTGTTAGGGGTAGACCCAGGAGGATCATTGTAGGGGTCATCCCAGGGGGATCATTGTAGGGGTCAGTGTTAGGGGTCAGTGTTAGGGGTAGACCCAGGGGGATCATTGTAGGGGTCATTGTAGGGGTAGACCCAGGGGGATCATTGTAGGGGTGCCGAGTGTTGCGAGCCGAGGGGAGACACGGGGCGCTGCCCTCACTTGATGAGGGCCCCGCGGAGGGCTTGCCGCTCCAGGGCGTCTCCCTGCCCGTCCTCGTCGCACGGAACCACGTCCGCCTCCGAGTACCTGCTCGCCGCCGCTCAGGAACTCAAAAAAACTCGCAAGGCACGGCGACTCGGGACTGCGACGATACTACAATGAACTTTTTTTTTTATTTTACCGGCTAAGGCCCACGGAGCCCTGTAGCTCTTTCTCAGAAGCGAACAAAAACAATAGCTCAACAAAGCGGATCATCGCGTGGCAATTCATGGCAGCCAAACTACTCTTGAACACGTCGATTCGAAGTGTGGAGGAAAAAACCGGAAGACCCGGAGAAAAATGCACGCGACCACGGGGACAGAGAGAGAGACGCAAACTCCAAATATACAGCAGCAGGCGTCATGCAATACGTGACGTGGATTTACCGGGCATGGATATGAGCCCGCATCTCAAGACGTTGGATGGACGCAGTGGCCATATTGATCTCATAGAAAGAGGCCGAGGAGAAGAGATTGGCCTGCAGCCTGGACTTGGAACAGGGCAAGGGAGCTGACAGCACGGACGGCTGAGGAAAGGGAGTTCTTGACTAGAAGGGCAGCGTCCCACTGAGCCAAGGTTGACTGGGGGTTCGACAGGAAAGTCTTCACTGCAGAAGTGGAGAGTTCACGGGAGGGGAGTATCAAGAGAGGGGAATGGTAGGAGAGTATGTGGAGGGGAGCAGAGTGGAATGGTAGGCAGAGGGAGGTTCCCACGGAGGGTCTGGTAGCCGCCGATGACTGCTCGTGCTTGCGTCTGCTCGTGAGCAGCAAAGGCTTTGAGTGCCGGGAGGATACTGGGGAGAGCCGAACTGCAGACTCTGGTCTCCCTCTACGTCCAGCTCCCCCTCACTCTCCTGGCAGACACCGCTGTTCGTTACGAACCCCGAGCCTGCATGCGGGGGACACACAGAGGCAGACGCATACGCATAGGAAGACATACAAGGATAAAGATTCCCCGTGTAGCCTTGACAGACTGTAGGGGCAAGTGCTGTTAGCGAGCACCTATGAAGGCCGGAACGGTACACGAGGGGGTGGGTGGCCAGCGCCACGCCCGACCGCCTTAGTCTCCCCAGAGGCATTGTTTTTATCCACTGCACCAGGTACTCATTTGAGGCTGAGTAGACCTAGGGGAGGCCCAGGACCGGTTCAGATAATCGTCACTGGTGTTGGCCGTGAGCGGGAATCGAACCCGGGTCGCCAGGTTCATAGCGCAGCGCGCTAACCGCTGCACTACCGCTCCCCACATAGGAAGATATACACACACACACATAGATGCGGAGAGGCTGTTGAATGCCAGCAGTCAAACACAGGCAATCGCACGCAGTCATGCACATGGGCTTGGGCAGGGCTTTCATCCAGCAGTGGACGATTCCACCTGGTGCGCGTGCATTCACCGCGGTATCCTCCGACGAGCAGGGAGCTGGCCCGGACGCGCGTCTCCCCGCACCACTCATACTCCTCAAACGACTCCTCCTCCGAGCTGCTCCCGTCCACGCAAACCTTCAGCTCCTCCCGACCACCGCCGCCGCTGCCGCTACCGCCACCGCCACGATTCTCAGCCATGCAGCCCTGCTAACACGACAGCACACAGCAATATACACCCGTACACAACAACAACCGCCAATCGCACACACACTCGCACACACAACAAGACAAAGATCACCCGTATAGCCGTAACCACTGTTGCGGCTAGTGCTGTTAGCGAGCAGCACCTGTGAAGATACAACAGCACAACGGCCGCCATTAAGCTACCAGGTGGCGGCGACCCCGAGTTCGAGTCCTGGGCCTTCCCTAGGTCAACGTAGCCTTAAAATGAGCACCTGCTACGGCGTGTTAACAGTGGATGGACACAGGCGGCCAGCTACGGTGTTGGCCACTGACCCTGCCCCTCATGTGCCCCCCCCCTCCCCGTTGTGGCAGCCTTAACAGGGGCTCGCGAACGCACCCGCGAGAGGCAAGCGTTGACGTGCTGGCTGCGCTCGTGCAGGGAGCCCGAGAGGGGACCGCCGCACACGGGGCACGGCTGCGCTTGCTGCGACTGCTTGCGCCGCTTGGCTCCTCCTCCCCCGCCCGACGGCGCGCGAAGGCCTGGCGGGGAAGCAACGGTCGCACGCGGTTCCAAACAAATGTCGCCCATCAAACCACCGGCACAGGTTTGGCATATGCGCCGTTCATCCAGCGCGTCGGCCATCGCGACGTTTGCTGCGTTTCGCGTACGATCCTAGTCAAAAGTCAGAGCGATTTATCATTCAAGTGACCATCTAAGGTTGCTCATCACCAGTTTCCAGTCCTGGGCCAGCTGTGGAAATGTCGCATTTCTATGGCAGAACCAACTTTCGACATCCCCACAAAGTGGTACCGCTCTTTACAAACAATCGAACCCATGATGATGGGCCGAGTTTAACTCGCAACCTCCCACAACCTTAAATCAAGCGAAAAGTACAGCTGCAGTATTAACTGGGGCGGCCACTGCGCCTGAACCACAAACCCCTAGACAGGTGGTCTTCACTAATCTTCAGGAGAGGGGCCACTTTCGCCGATAAGACATCGTCAGTGTGACAAGGGCCGCCACCCATTTGAAACCGTTTGGGTTTGACAGCACAATGGGGGTGGTGTTTTCACATTTGCGAGTTGTTGGGGTCCAAACTAAGGGCCACAAGGGGCCGCAAGTGGCCCGCGGGCCTCAAAGTGAAGAACTACTGCTCACGAACAACCAGAAAATGCTACCGCTTGGCCATATTGTAACCTGTTCATCATTGTTATCAAGCCAGTTCCAATATTGTAGATGTTTTATAAGCCTTAAAATACGGTAACTGCAAGGTTGTGGGCACGGGGGGAGGGAGATTTCATGCCATCACGTCGTGGGATGTGAGTGCAGGCCTGGGGTGCTGTCATGATGAGCCTGGTACCATTCTCTCTCGAGTGCCTCCCTCCCTTCACCCGCACCAGCGCCTGCAAGAGACGCACAGAGGGGGATAAGATTCAGTGGGGGCCACGGCCCCCGAAATGGGGACCCACTTAAAGGGAGATCGTTCTCCCTTTACCCATAACTTGCCAACTGGAGACTCATACATTTATTAGCCTGGGCCATAACCTTTTTCGGAAACTTAATTTTACGAGAAACCGACTCTTTATTAGACTGGAGGAATCCGATGAGCTATGAAGCTTTTTTTCACAGGTTATCTTCTTAATATGGCTCACCTTAAAATAGTCTCCACCTTCAGTAACCAGCGTGAGGTATGGTCAACCACCAGAGGACGTGGAGAGCCCTTCACCCTTAACCACAGACACTGAAATTCACAACCACTTTTCACAGGGACCCCTTACCAACTCCTGACCCCTTAACCAGGGGGTCCCATTAACCCCACGGGGTCCAACTCTAAAATGTAACCCAGAGCCGAGGTCAATGTCAAATGCAACGGCACCGTCAGCTAAAATGAACCAGTGCACTGCGATTGAAATTACAATAATAGCGAATTTGCACAATCACAAATGTAACGGAGCTTGGGTCCAGAGGAATACAGCAAGCGAACCGTCAATTAAAAATATAAGAGTAGGTTTTACCCTTTCTGGCAATAAAACAGTTGTGTTACGATGGTGAAACACCAAACAGAAACATTTTGCAGGGAATCATGTCTGCATTAACCCAACACAGGCTTGTGAAATAGCAGTGCATTGCCTTTGAAACTGATTGGAGCACACCAGTGACTGCTTTCTTTAGATACCTAGTCTCAAACAGAGTTAAACAAGAGGGCAGCACAAAGACAATGCCACGATGAGGACTTTGGGAGCTCCGAGCGAGGTCCAAATGATGAACCGTCAAATTGTTAGGCCCCTTACGCAGGCGACCCATTAATCTCAAGAGACCCCCGAGTTCATCACCCCGTATCTCTCGGCAACATTCAACGGAGATCCCTTCAACACACGCACTCCGCTGGAGTCATGGGACCCTTAACTGTAGACCCCCCTTAACTGTAGACCCCCCCTTAACGTTAAACCCCTAAACCGGGCACCCATTAACTAACGCGAGGTCCGTAACCACCCAGAACCCCCTTAACTCGAGACACCCACGGCCTAGACCACTCATCTCTGTGCCGTTCATGAGACCCCTCAAACTGGGGGGGGGGGGGGGGGGTCCCCCTTAACTCTCCAGACACCTTAAACAGGGGGAGGGGGTCCCCCTTAACTCGAGACCACTTGAACAGGGGGGGGGTCCTCCTAACTCTCGAGCCCCCTTAAACAGGGGGAGGGGTCCCTTAACTCTCCAGACCCCTTAAACAGGGGGTCCCCCTTAACTCTCCAGATCCCTTAAACAGGGGAGGGGGTCCCCCTTAACTCTCCAGACCCCGTAAACAGGGGGGGTCCCTTAACTCTCCAGACCTCTTAAACAGGGGGGGGGGTCCCCCTTAACTCTCGAGACCCCTTAAACGGGGGGGGGGGTCCCTTAACTCTCGAGACCCCTTAAACAGGGGGGGGTCCCCCTTAACTCTCGAGACCCCTTAAACAGGGGAGGGGGTCCCCCTTAACTCTCCAGACCCCTTAAACAGGGGGGGGGGGGTCTCCCTTAACTCGAGACCACTTGAATGGGGGGGGGGTCCTCCTAACTCTCCAGACCCCTTAAACAGGGGGAGGCGTCCCCCTTAACTCTCGAGACCCCTTAAACAGGGGGGGGTCCCCCTTAACTCTCCAGACCCCTTAAACAGGGGGAGGGGGTCCCCCTCAACTCTCCAGACCCCTTAAACAGGGGGGGGTCCCCCTTAACTCGAGACCACTTGAACAGGGGGGGGTCCTCCTAACTCTCGAGACCCCTTAAACAGGGGGGGGGGGTCCCTTAACTCTCCAGACCTCTTAAACAGGGGGGGTCCCCCTTAACTCTCGAGACCCCTTAAACAGGGGGGGGGGTCCCCTTAACTCTCGAGACCCCTTAAACAGGGGAGGGGGTCCCCCTTAACTCTCCAGACCCCTTAAACAGTGGGGGGGGGTCCCCCTTAACTCTCCAGACCCCTTAAACAGGGGGGGTCCCTTAACTCTCGAGACCCCTTAAACAGGGGGGGGGGTCCCCCTTAACTCTCGAGCCCCGTGAGCAACGACGAAAACCCCGCTTCACATTTCCCAGTTCACACAACAAAACATCTCACACCCCCCCCCCCCGCGTGAGCGCCCCCCCTCGACCAATGGGGGAAGAGCGCGGCTCTCGCCACCCAAAGCGCTCTACCAAATTGAGAGCGCGGCGGCGGCGGCGCCGACGACTCCCCCCGCCCGCGTCGCTACCCCCGTTCGCTTCCCGCCTCGAACTCGCCTGGGCGCCGCGCCCGCTCCCCGCCGCCGCCGCCGCCTCCTCCTCCCCGGCCTCTGCCGCCTCCATTGGCGCGGGACGGAGGCGGCGATCGCGGGGCCGTGGTGTCCGATGGCTGCGGATGGTGGCGGTGTTGTTGCGTCTCCTCCAGCCGCGGCCGCGGCGGCCGCCTCAGTTTTCTGTGATGCCGCCTCCAAGGCAGCCGGTGGTGGGTGGGTGGGGGGAAGAGGGCGGGGTTTGCCGGTGACGTCACGGCAGGGCGAGCGCTGTTGATTGGCCCGCGAGAGACGGTGTCGCTATTTATTATGTTAATTTTTTTGGGGCGTGAGCGTTTGCGAGGTAAATATTTTACGACGTTATCGGAATGCGAGGAGTCTTTTACTTACGAACGAGTCCGGTTCCAAGGGGGGTGAGGGGGGGGCTCTGTTCGTAAGTCGATTTGTTCGTAAGTCCAGCGTTACTCCTGTCCACTAAACACGGGGGAATAGCTTTAAAAGTTGTAGAATATCCTGCAGATGCCACTGGTTCTTTACATTTTGCAGATGTCACTGGTTCTTCACGTTCTGTAGATGCCACTGGTTCTTCACGTTCTGCAGATGTAGATGCCACTGGTTCTTCACGTTCTGCAGATGGAGATGCCACTGGTTGTTCACGTTGTGCAGATGTAGATGCCACTGGTTCTTCACGTTGTGCAGATGTAGATGCCACTGGTTCTTCACGTTCTGTAGATGCCACTGGTTCTTCACGTTCTGCAGATGTAGATGCCACTGGTTGTTCACGTTGTGCAGATGTAGATGCCACTGGTTCTTCACGTTGTGCAGATGTAGATGCCACTGGTTCTTCACGTTCTGTAGATGCCACTGGTTCTTCACGTTCTGCAGATGTAGATGCCACTGGTTGTTCACGTTGTGCAGATGTAGATGCCACTGGTTCTTCACGTTCTGCAGATGTAGATGCCACTGATTCTTCACGTTCTGTAGATATAGATGCCACTGGTTCTTCACGTTCTGTAGATGTAGATGCTACTGGTTCTTCACATTCTGTAAATGTAGATGCCACTGGTTCTTCACGTTCTACAGATGTAGATGCCACTGATTCTTCACGTTCTGTAGATGTAGCTGCCACTGGTTCTTCACGTTCTGTAGATATAGATGCCACTGGTTCTTCACGTTCTGTAGATGTAGATGCCACTGGTTCTTCACATTCTGTAAATGTAGATGCCACTGGTTCTTCACGTTCTACAGATGTAGATGCCACTGATTCTTCACGTTCTGTAGATGTAGATGCCACTGCTTCTTCATGTTCTGCAGATGTAGATGCCACTGGTTCTTCACGTTCTGCAGATGTACAGTGCGGGAAAAAATATTTGATCCCCTGCTGATTTTGTACGTTTGCCCACTGACAAAGAAATGATCAGTCTATAATTTTAATGGTAGGTTTATTTGAACAGTGAGAGACAGAATAACAACAAAAATGCAGAAAAACGCATTCCAAAAATGTTATAAATTGACTTGCATTTTAATGAGGGAAATAAGTATTTGACCCCTCTGTAAAACATGACTTAGTACTTGGTGGCAAAACCCTTGTTGGCAATCACAGAGGTCAGACGTTTCTTGTAGTTGGCCACCAGGTTTGCACACATCTCAGGAGGGATTTTGTCCCACTCCTCTTTGCAGATCTTCTCCAAGTCGTTAAGGTTTCGAGGCTGACGTTTGGTAACTCGAACCTTTAGCTCCCTCCACAGATTTTCTATGGGATTAAGGTCTGGAGACTGGCTAGGCCACTCCAGGACCTTAATGTGCTTCTTCTTGAGCCACTCCTTTGTTGCCTTGGCCGTGTGTTTTGGGTCATTGTCATGCTGGAATACCCATCCACGACCCATTTTCAATGCCCTGGCTGGGGGAAGGAGGTTCTCACCCAACATTTGACGGTACATGGCCCCGTCCATCGTCCCTTTCATGCGGTGAAGTTGTCCTGTCCCCTTAGCAGAAAAACACCCCCAAAGCATGTTTCCAACTCCATGTTTGATGGTGGGGATGATGTTCTTGGGGTCATAGGCAGCATTCCTCCTCCTCCAAACATGGCGAGTTGAGTTCATGCCAAAGAGCTCCATTTTGGTCTTATCTGACCACAACACTTTCACCCAGTTGTCCTCTGAATCATTCAGATGTTCATTGGCAAACTTCAGACGGGCATGTATATGTGGTGTCTTGAGCAGGGGGACCTTGCGGGCGCTGCAGGATTTCAGTCCTTCACGGCGTAGTGTGTTACCAATTGTTTTCTTGGCGACTATGGACCCAGCTGCCTTGAGATCATTTACAAGATCCTCCCGTGTAGTTCTGGGCTGATTCCTCACCGTTCTCATGATCATTGCAACTCCACGAGGTGAGATCTTGCATGGAGCCCCAGGTCGACCGAGGGAGATTGACAGTTCTTTTGTGTTTCTTCCATTTGCGAATAATCGCACCAACTGTTGTCACCTTCTCACCAAGCTGCTTGGCAATGGTCTTGTAGCCCATTCCAGCCTTGTGTAGGTCTACAATCTTGTCCCTGACATCCTTGGAGAGCTCTTTGGTCTTGGCCATGGTGGAGAGTTTGAAATCTGATTGATTGCTTGTGGACAGGTGTCTTTTATACAGGTAACAAGCTGAGATTAGGAGCACTCCCTTTAAGAGTGTGCTCCTTATCTCAGTTCGTTACCTGTATAAAAGACACCTGGGAGCCAGAAATCTTTCTGATTGAGAGGGGGTCAAATACTTATTTCCCTCATTAAAATGCAAATCAATTTATAACATTTTTGACACGCGTTTTTCTGGATTTTGTTGTTATTCTGTCTCCCACTGTTCAAATAAACCTACCATTAAAATTATAGACTGATCATTTCTTTGTCAGTGGGCGAATGTACAAAATCAGCAGGGGATCAAATACTTTTTTCCCTCACTGTCGATGCCACCACCGCCATCTATTGCGTGGCAGTTGAACTTACGACTCTCGCCCCGAACAGGCAACTGGACATACGGACCAGGTTTGTTCGTGAGCCGAGTGCTCGTATTTATTTACATTGGAACGATTCTTCACCTTTTAGGCCAGTGTTTTTCATTGCAAGGCCCGCGGGCCCCAACATGCGTCCCCCAACAACACACACATCATTATCGTGCTGCTGTCAAACCTACAATGGTTTAAAATGTGTGGCGGCCCTCATCACACTGATGATGTCTTATCGGCGAAAGTGGCCCCCCTCGGAAAATTAGTGAACAACACCGCCGTAGGCCACCATCTCATCTAGCCATGATGTGTCCTGCCAAAGCTCGCTCACTTTTCTTGAACAGTCAATACAATACGCAATGTCGCCTTCACATAGCCATCACTCTACGTTACAAAATATTAATGTTTACGTTACACAAGCCATCAGCCGCACAGCCTCGTGGTAGTGACCAATGGGGTATGAAGGGGCAGTTGTGTTGGGAACAAATCAGCAATGCTGCAAGGAATGTGGTTTTCAGAAGCATTTATTCATCATTAAGAACCAGGATCCATCCACTGCTGGATGGAGGCCTCCCTAAGTCACCACCGCCACCTCTCACGGCCCTGTGATGTCACAATCGACCCAGCACCTCGGATGCGTTCCATTCCTTGGAAGGGAATGTAACTGGCAAGGAAATATGACCCCACACACCTCCAATTAGCACGGTTGGCTACGTACGGTGCTAACGAAGTTCGACAGACACACATATGTAACTTGCTGACCCCCACCCATTCTGTAAAAAAAAGAAGAGCTTCATAGCTCATCGGATTCCTCCAGTCGAAGTAAAGATTCTGATTCCGATTCTGACATTTAACGACCCACAGCCCAAAATCTCCCGGCTCTGACAAAGACGAGGTTGGGCTTGGATCAATTGGTGGCCCTGAGCCGCGGTGGAGGAGATTCCACATTCCCCATGATGGGGGTCGGTCTATCCACAGGATGACCATCGTGGACTCCCCACAAAGTGGGAAACATTCTTCACCCCATAGGAGTGACTCGTTGAATCGATCCTCGGCTGAGATTAGAGCTTGCCACTTTCTCGAGTGCACTGGCACACCTCCTGGATATTGATTCACGCATAGCGGTAAAAAATATATTTCAGCCATTCATTCATAAATATTTTTTTAAAAATTGAAAACGCACGCACAGGCTGGCGTTAGGTAAACAGCGACAAAAACTTCTCTCTCCCCTCACTCCCCATGTCCTCCCCCCCTCTTTCCTCTCACTCTCCCCATCTCTCTCTCCGTGGGCCCCCTTCTCACAGGCGCTTCTCACGCCAGGCAGCGCAGGGCGACGAGCACGAGCGCCGCAAACGCGGTCTGCGCTGCCTCGTACAGCAGCTTTGGGGAGAAGACGCTCCAGATGAAGAGGTGGTAACGCTGGGCCGCCGCCAGCGCCAGGTACGCCACGAGGGGCAGGGCCCGCGCCAGCGCAAGGGCCGCGCAGGCCTCGTCCACGGCGCCCGGCAGCCTGGGCCGGGCAGGGGGTGGTGGTGGTGGTGGGTGAGAATGGAGGGGGGTCAAAAGGTCAGCACCTCCGCACGGGGGAGAACGAGAGAACGGGGCAGCAGCAGCAGATGGGACAAGGCGTATGTATGCGTGTACGTTGAACTCTTCTTTTGCACAGTACACAGCCAACCCTTGCGAATTGGAGGTGCGAGATGAGGCTGGAGCAGAATAAATCGGTCGAAGGGAGGGGGGAGGGGGCGGCGCTCCCAGATGCATATTTCGGCAGCCAACATTTATGACTGCAATGTACTGATGAGTCCAAATGAGGACGAAACCATTGGAGCGGGTGTGGACCCGGCTACAGAGAGGAGAGCGAGCGAGCGAGCGAGCGAGCGAGCGAGCGAGGGGTTGAGAGCGCGCCTGCGCGCGTGGGCACCTGCGGGGGGCGGTGACACGCTGGAGGGTGGCGGCCACGGCGGCCGCCCAGGTGATGGGCCCCGTGAACGTGCAGGCCGCCGTGAGCAGCACGGCCAGCGGGCCCGAGTGCGAGCGCTGGCCCACGTAGCCGGCTGCAACGTCCACGCTCGCCAGCCCATTGGAGTTTCCCTAATGGCCAGACAACAACGAAGGAACCCCCCCACCCCGTGTGGCCTTTGACAGACTGTTGGGGCAAGTGCTGTGAGTGAACGCCGATGAAGGGGGCGGGCGGCCTTAACCACGTCCGGTCACATTTGTCACCCAAGTGCTGACGTTTAAGGTCCGCAACAGGTATGCATTTAAGGCCAAGTCAACCTCGAGGAGGCCCAGGATAGGTTCATATATTCTCCGTCGTTAACCGTCGTCGACTCGGGTTAACGACTGCACTACCGCTCCACACACACACGTAAACACAAAGATCCCCCGTGTAGCCTTAAAAGACTGTAGGGGCAAGTGCTGTGAGCAAGCACCTATGAAGGCCAGAACGGTACACGAGGGGGTGGGTGGCCAGCACCACGCCCGACCGCCTTAGTCTCCCCAGTGGCAATGTTTTTATCCACCGCACCAGGTACTAATTTGAGGCTGAGTCGACCTAGGGGAGGCCCAGGACCGGTTCCGATAATCGTCACTGGTGTTGGCCGTGAGCGAGAATCGAACCCGGGTCGCCAGGTTCATAGCGCAGCGTAGCGCTAACCGCTACACTACCGCTCCCCACACATAAACACACACACGTCAACACCACACACGTGAACACACACACACGTGAACACACACACACACGTGAACACACACACACACACACGTGAACACACACACGTGAACACACACACACGCGTCGACGCCACACACGTGAACACACACACGTCAACACACACACGTGAACACACACACGTCAACACACACACGTCAACGCCACACATGTGAACACACACACACGTGAACACATACACACACGTGAACACCACACACACAAACACACACACGTCAACACACACACACACACGTCAACACACACACACGTGAACACCACACACGCTCACGCACGCGGGCTTGGGGGGGTCGGGGGTCGGGGTAGGCAGGGCGTCACCTGCTGGTAGAATGCCGCTTGTCCCAGGCAGTGGTACGTGAGCGCGACGTGCGCGGCGCTGGCGCGGCCCGGCTCCCGGCTCAGGAGCCACTCAAGGCCGGCCTGCATGAGCAGCCACAGCGCCAGCACAGGCAGGTTGTGCGGGCGCATCAGCGCAGCCAGGATCAGAGTCAGCGCAGCGATGGCGTGCGCCAGGAACGACGGCGCGGGAACCCCACTGCTGCTGCCGTCCCCATCTCCGCTTCCCAAAATGCACCACCGGTGCCGCAGCTGCTCGACAGCGCCCGACAGGAGGACGCCGGCGGCGCAAGCGGCAATCGCGCGCGCTTCTGTGACTCCGCTGACAGGAGTGGGGGCAGGCACACTTTGTAAGTCTTACAATGAAGCGAACTGCCAGCTTACTCGTTGTGTATGCACATTTGTGAGTGCGTAAGCGTGTATATGACTGTGTGCGTGTGTGTGTGCATCGCTCACTTTGTGAGTGTAGGAGTAAGTGTGTGTATTGGTGTGTGTGTGCGCGCGCGCGTCTCACTCGCTGTGTCTTAGTGTGTGCGTGTGTGTACATGCGTGTGTGCGCGTCTCACTCGCTGTGTCTTAGTGTGTGTGTGCATGCGTGTGTGCGCGTCTCACTCGCTGTGTCTTAGTGTGTGTGTGTACATGCGTGTGTGCGCGTCTCACTCGCTGTGTGTCTTAGTGTGTGTGTGTGCGCACGTCTCGCTCGCTGTGTGTATTAGCATGTGTGCGAGTGCGTGAGTGTGCGAGTGCGTGAGTGTGTGCGTGCGTGAGTGTGCGAGTGCGTGAGTGTGCGTGAGTGTGTGCGTGAGTGTGTGCGTGCGAGCGTCTCGCTCGCTGTGTGTATTAGCATGTGTGCGAGTGCGTCAGTGTGCGAGTGCGTGAGTGTGTGCGTCTCGCTCGCTGTGTGTATTAGCATGTGTGCGAGTGCGTGAGTGTGCGAGTACGTGAGTGTGCGAGTGAGTGAGTGCGTGAGTGTGCGAGTGTGTGAGTGCGCGTGAGTGCGTGAGTGTGCGTGAGTGCGCGAGTGCGCGAGTGTGTGCATGAGTGTGCGTGAGTGCGTGAGTGTGCGTGCGTGAGTGTGTGCGTGAGTGTGCGTGCGTGAGTGTGTGCGTGAGTGTGCGTGAGTGTGTGCGAGCGTCTCACTCGCTGAGCGTGACGTGTACGTGGGCGAGCGCCGCGAGTCCCAGCAGGACGAGGAGGCGGCAAGCCTTCCCCGGGCAGCGAGAGCACAAACACGCGCACAGGCACGCGCACGCCACGCCGGCCAGCACACGCAGCAGCACCTCCTGCTCGGGCCTACGCACAACAAAGACAAAGATCCCCCGTGTAGCCTTAACAGACTGTTGGGGGAAGTGCTGCTGTCGTCGCCAGCGCTGCGCCCGGCAACCTTTCTCTCCCGAGTGTTGTTTTCTTGCACACCGCAGCAGGTAGTCGTTTAAAGGTTGAGCCAACCTAGGGGAGGCCCAGTACCGCTTTATATAATCGCCACTAGAATTCGCCGATGTCCATCAACTCCACTTACTCAATCATCAGTCATCATCATCATCATCATTCCCATCATTATCATCCGTCACCTCCTTAGCCAGGCCCTGATGCTCATCATCAACGTCATCTCTCACCTCCTCCGCCAAGCCCTGACGCTTTTCATCGTCATGATCTCTCACCTCCTCAGCCAGTCGCCAATGTCCGTCAGCTCGACCCACTGGACACCCGTCTGGTTCCACGAGCGCAGGAGGCGGAAGGCGACCGCCACCCCGCACAGAGCCGCCACCCCGCTCCACCCCGCCCCGCCACCACCACCGCCGCCATCACCGCTCTCATCGAAGCCACCACCTTCGCCGCCGCCATCGCCATCGCCCTCGTCGCCGTCGTCCGTGGGCAGCGGGGCCTGGCGTGCGACCATCACAGCCAGCAGGGAGGTGCCCAGGTAGTACCAGGTGAGGTGCTCCTCCTCCACGAAGCTGCTCGAGGCGAGGCTCGCCGTGTGCGCCGCGATGCCGCCGAGCCAAGCCCAGCCCGGTGGCGCCAGCGACCGCGAGCCGCGGCGGCCGAGGCAGCGGCGACCGACGGTGGTGGCGGCAGCGGCAGTTACGGAGGAGGTGTAGGATGATGATGATGATGCGGAGCACCGTCTGGTCCAAGCGATGGCGGTTGCCGCGGCTACGAGAGCAGCTGGCGCGGCGAGGAGGGCGGCGACGGCGGGGAGCGGCCAGCTGCACAGAAGCCCCCGCTCTCCGCCACTCGCCCTGCCGCACGTGTGTGGACGCACACACACACACACGTGTACACACGCGTGTACACACACGTGTACACACACGCGCATACACACACACGTACACACACGATAGACATGGAGATCCCACTAACCATACAGCCTGCTGGGGGAACCATAATTAACGAACAGGCGTGCACGTGCACAAGTACACACAAGGAAATACATGCGAACGTTGCTTCTGCTGCTGCTGCATTTCTCCGCTGACACTACACGGGGGGGGAATCTGTTTGCATGCCACTGTTTGTGTCTGCGTGCGTGCGTGTCTCTCACCCCTCTCTCCCGTGCGTGCGCGCGAGCGAGCACGCGCTCTGATTGGCCGTGACGACGAACGCCAGCACTGCCGCGAAGCCGACCCAGAACACCGGGGCGGAGACTCGCACCTCCCCGAGCACTGCGCCCCCCCAACCACCGCCACCGCCATCCAGGCCGCACGCCCACGCCGAAACCACCAGGAGCACCAGCGCCTGCACCGCCGCACAGCACCGCACCAACCTGGCTTTATCTGACCATGTGAGAGCACGCCATCGTGGTGGCGATTGTGGTGGCTGTAGCGGTCGGTTTCAGGCTGCGGTGGTTGTGATGGCGGTGGGTTGATGTTGATGATTAACCGGTGTATTGGCCACGGCAGTTGTGGTGGTGGTGATGGTGGTTCTTTCGGTGCTTGTGACGCTCATTGCAGTCGCAATGGTAGTTGCGATGGTTGCTTGCGTCGGCCGTTTCGATCGTGATGGTCGCGACAATCCATGTGCCCCCCCCCACTGGATCTCGGCTGTTTCGGTGGTTTGGTAGCGGTGGTGGCGAATTCCACTAATGGCCGGTCTGATCGTGACAGCTGCCAATTGCTGTTCCGGTTGTTTCGGCGGTGGCAGAGGTGGCAACAGTGGCGTGGCAGCGTTGGCGGTAGCTCTGGGTGGCAGCCACGGTGGCGTTTGCGACCTTTGTTTTGATTGGGGCGCCGCAGTGGCGAATTGTTATCTCCCTCGCCTGGTATGCAGGAGGTCGTGGGTTCGGACCCGACGCTGACGCCTGTATATTTGGAGTTTGCGTGTCTCTCTCTCTCTCATCATCATCACGGTGGCTAGGAGATGTTAACTACCTCGCCTGGTATGCAGGAAGTCGTGGGTTCGGTCCCGACCCTGACGCCTGCTGTATATTTGGAGTTTGCGTGTCTCTCTCTCTCATCATCATCACGGTGGCTAGGAGATGTTAACTACCTCGCCTGGTATTCAGGAAGTCGTGGGTTCGGTCCCGACACTAACACCTGTATATTTGAAGTTTGCGTGTCTCTCTCTCTCATCATCATCACGGTGGCTAGGAGATGTTATCTCCCTCGCCTGGTATACAGGATGTCGTGGGTTCGGTCCCGACCCTGACACCTGCTGTATATTTGGAGTTTGCGTGTCTCTCTCTCTCATCATCATCACGGTGGCTAGGAGATGTTAACTACCTCGCCTGGTATGCAGGAAGTCGTGGGTTCGGTCCCGACCCTGACACCTGCTGTATATTTGGAGTTTGCGTGTCTCTCTCTCTCATCATCATCACGGTGGCTAGGAGATGTTAACTACCTCGCCTGGTATGCAGGAAGTCGTGGGTTCCATCCCGACCCTGACAATGCCTGCTGTATAAATTGAGTTTGCGTGTCTCTCTCTCTCTCTCATTATCATCACGGTGGCTAGGATATGTTAACTACCTCGCCTGGTATACAGGAAGTCGTGGGTTCGGTCCCGACACTAACACCTGTATATTTGGAGTTTGCGTGTCTCTCTCTCTCATCATCATCACGGTGGCTAGGAGATGTTATCTCCCTCGCCTGGTATACAGGATGTCGTGGGTTCGGTCCCGACGCTGACACCTGCTGTATATTTGGAGTTTGCGTGTCTCTCTCTCTCATCATCATCACGGTGGCTAGGAGATGTTAACTACCTCGCCTGGCATACAGGAAGTCGTGGGTTCGGTCCCGACCCTGACGCCTGTATATTTGGAGTTTGCGTGTTCTCCCCGTGGTCGCGTGGATTCATCTCCGGGTTCTCCCGTTTTTCCCCTCTACATTTAGAGTTAACATCACGCTTTTGGAGCATTTGGCTGCTCTAAATTCCCACGTGATCAGCCACTTGCTTCGCCGAGCTATCGTTTGACAGCCAGGTCGCTTCTGAAAAAACACCGAGCTGCATAGCTCAGTGGGGCCTTGTCTGGCAGATTAAAAATAGTTTAACTAGTTTCCAAGACGAGCCGGCAGTCAGGGTTATGGCATCGTTGGGGGGGGGGGGAGGCTCCATCATCGCCGGGTTCCGCACCAGGAGGACGGTGGCGCCGCCGGCCGCCATGGCACGCGTGTCGTACCGCGCCAGGTCGCGCGTCACCGCCCGGCTGAGGCCGCGCAGGGCGTCCACGTAGCGCCCGCGTGCCAGCGCCGCCAACGCCGCCGGCGCGTCCCCAGAGCCGTTAGCCGGCGCCTGCCGGAGCCACGACTCGTGCCACCGCTCCGCGTTCTCCCGGTGCAGGTAGCCGGGCTCTGAGGACATCATCAGCATCGTAATGAGCGTCGTTATCGCCCTCATCGTTGTTGTAGTCGTCGTCATCATTGTCTCAATTGTCATTAGTGTCATCAAAGTTGGAAATATCGTCACAAACTATATCAACGTTATCAATGGCAACGCTGATGATGACGATGTCAATAATGATGACAACAATGGTGGCGGTAATGATGATGATAAAATTGATGAGGACAAAGACAACGATGGTGATATTAATGATGATAGCGATGATGACAATAGCCAATAACAATGACGATGAAATTGACAATGATGAGGGTGGTGATGACAATAAAGACGATGCTAATGGTAATCATCACCATGTTGACGATGACGACATTAACCGACGATGACGATGGCGACGTCTGGCTGTACCGGTTGCGTATGACGCTGTGCCCGCCCTCAGCAGCGCGGCCAGCTGATGGGCATTGGCCTGCAGGGCACGCAGCTGCTCTCTGATTGGCCGATGCTCCAGGGCGGCCGTGATCACGTGACCCATGCTGTTGAGCGGCACAGGGCGACCCATTCCCAACGACAGGGTGGCGGCCAGATCCACCTGCAGCACCTCCGCGGGGACGGTTTCGGGATCTACCAAGAGCAATGGCAAACGATTGATAAAATCGGACCCAGCAAGTCAAGAGGCTTGGGCCTTTGAAGAAGTGCGGGTGTGTTTCTAACTGCATGTCTATAAAAACTGTAAAACTTTAAATTTTACCAGGTAAGGCCCACTGAGCTTAATAGATCTTTTTCATAAGCGACCTGGCCAGAAACGATAGGCCAACGAAGTGGCTTATCGCGTGGAATTTTACATCAGCCAAACACTCTAAACGCGTGGTGACGTTCATTATAAATGTGGAGGGAAAAACCGGAGGGCCCGGAAAAAAATCCAGGCCACCACGGGGAGAGGGAACACGCAACCTCCAAATATACTGGCGTCAGGATCGGGATCGAACCCACGACTTCCTGTATACCGGGGGAGGTAGTTAACATCTCGCCACTGCGTGCGAGTCGCCATGTCAACTATGTGGGCCATCAGCGGCGCGGCTCGGGTGTTGCGGTGGAAAAAGACTCTGGCTGCCTACCCTGCGCCGGGTTGGCTCGGCACGGCTTGATGACAAGAGAGGTGTTGGTAGTTTTCGGGGTAAATGAGGTGGCACGCCAGGCTTGGCCCCTCTGCTGCTGTGCCTTCATGATGATGACTACGCTGATGACGATGATGATGGCGGTATCGATGACTATGACGACCTCGTCGTGCGCCGCTCACCGGCGAGGGGGAACGCGGAGCTGAAGAGAAGGAGCGGGGAGAGCAGCTCCTCCTCGGATGAGCCGCCGTGGCTGCCGGCGTTGGACATGCCATGATCGCCGCACAGTACCAGCAGCGCCGGCAGGGACGGCGACTCGTCCTGCGCGGGGGAAGACACCGGGTTGACTCGGCCTTAAACGAGTACCTGGCGCGGTGTTCAAAAACATCGGCGGCAGGGCATGGTGCTGGTCACACCAACTAACCACGTGCGCCGTTCCGACCTTCATAGGTGCCGCTCGCTAACCGCACTTGCTCCCGACAGCCCGTTAAGGCTACACGGGGGACCTTTGTCTTTGTGTGCGTGGGTACGCGCGCACGCCCATCACCTCTCGCAGCAGGGCGGTGTGCACCGCGCGCACCACCGCGTCCATCTCACGCAGCTTGTGCGGGACGAGCGCGCTAGCGGGGCCGTGCGTGTGCCCGATGTGGTCCAGGCCAAGGTAGTGCAGCACCAGCAGCTGCCAGTCCCGGCTCGCCAGCGCCGCCGGCACGTGCCGCGTCACGTTGGTGTCCACCTATTGGGGGGGGGGGTGGCGGCGTGGTGGGTGCGAGTCGACCACGTTACGTGTCCGCTTTCGGGTGGAGTCGACCACGTTCGGGTCCACCCGCATGCGAGCCAAGCAGGCAAGCACCTATGGCGGGGGACGAGGCTATTCATAGGACAACCGCTGTTGACTTCCCCAGAAGGTAGGACTCATTTTATTGACGCTGAAGTGATGGCGGGCTGGGTCAATTCCCCCCATCCTCCAACCGCACCGCCCACCCCTCAACCAGGCGTTGAACTCGCAAACTTCCGATTACGAGCCGCTCGCTCACACTCTGAGCCGCCTGGCCCCGAACCCCCCACTGATGGCCCCTCGACGACCTCTGACCTCTCACCTCCGTGTGGTCGGTGACGAAGAAAGATGTGGTGCCCTCGGCTTGGTGGAACGTCCCCGGGAAGAGACGGAGCCACGTGTCGTCGCCGTAGAAACGGAGGCGGCGCCCCGCAGCGAGCGCCTGCCACAGGAAGGTGTCGTCTCCCGCGGCGACCGCCTCCAGGTTCATCAATAGGTCCAGGAAGCCCGGGATGGAGCCTGACGTCAGGGCCTGGGGAGGCGGACAGTAACGGGGACTGGAGATCAGAGGTGGCGGTCGATAAAGGGAAGATGATGAGATGGGGCGAGAAATGCATTAGTCTATGAACCTACGGCCCACAACTTAACTTCACAAGGCCCGTGGGCTGGATACGGCCTTTCACTACATTTCATACGACCAGATATTTCATTTCACATGGCCAAACAACTTTATTTCATATGGCCCTTGGATTCATTACCATATGCCCATGTGTAGCCTTTGGCGCCTTGCGCTTCCAACCCGGCAACCAGGTTCGATACCCATTCTGTGCCCGTTCTAGGCCTCCCCGAGGTCGACTCAGCCTCAAATGAGTGCCTGGTGTGTAAACATCACCACTGGGGAGACAAAGGCGGCCGGGCGTGGCGTGTTGGCGACCCACCCCCTCGTGTACCGTGCCGGCCTCCATAGGCGCCACTCACAAACAGCGCTTTCCCCAACAGTCTGTTAAGGCTACACGGGGGGGGGGGATCTTGTTTTTGTGTGTGTGTGGGCTGGCACCTTGATGCGTGGCATGGTGACGGTGGGCGGGTGCGCACGTGCCGTGTAGCGCAGCGCGTGCCCGCCATGCGCCTGCGCGTGCGTGTAGGGCATGTTGGTGGCGCCGTGCGCTCCGAATACGAAGTCGGCGCGCAGAGCGTCAACCAGAACCAGCACCACGCGCCCAAACGCCGGCTCCAGGGCCTGGGGAGGCGAACCTGCGCCCGGCACACACACACACAACGTGTGGTGACAGGCGAGATGATAAGTGGCACAGATGACACGCGTAGTACAATCACACACGTGGCACAGGTGGAGGCAAGTTACACTTGTGGAAAGTGTCACAGACGACACACCATGTGGGTCGACCCGCAAGACTGTATGCATGTTGAGCTTCTTTCACACCGTACGTAGCCAACCGTGCTAATCGGAGGTGCGGAGGGAAAGACAAACGAAACATAAATTAGTTTTCAATCGAAATGACTTAAAAGTGCATCGCTCCAGTGGCTTCGTAATACCGTGTCGGAACGCAGAGCGTTCCAGACGGCCGCAGAAGCGCATCTGAAAGCGCCGCGCGATGTGGTTGACCACCGTCTTTGTTCGATGGCTTGGCAGCCAAAAGCCGCCGCTGCTGCGAGGCTGACTGCAGTTCGCGTGGCGATGGTTTATAGCTCTTTGACGATATCAGCACCGAGGTGCTATTGTGGTTCATTTGTGGCAGGGGTGGGCAACGTCCAGCCCGCGTGGCGTATAAGGCCCGCGAAATAATTTGGTCTCTGGCCCTGCCAAGGCAACCGCAGGCGGGACTCGAAATTCAATAAATCTAGGAGCAAAACCTGGAAAAGCAGTTTGCGAGTAGCAGCAACATCGTCAACACCGGCTAACATCATCATCACCACGCGCCTCGCCAAAGAAAAACAGTTCCAGCCATCGCATTAGGGGGCGAGTTAATTAAATGTTTGACCAAATATAACAAGGCTAATGTTTAAGTTGATCATTTTGTATGGCCCGCGAATGACGTTATAAATATCCAAATGGCCCTTGGCAGAAAACAAAAAGGTTCCCCACCCCTGATATTTGTGGCAAGCGGTGGGCGAAGCGGCTAACCTCCACCGTTACCTGCAACGCTGGATGCGCCCGGCTCGGGGGGTAGCCGGGCGGGGTCCGCGTGGCCGGGCAGCGAACGCCGCACGGGGAAAAAACCGGCGAGGAAGAGCGCCAGCCCCACCAGCTGCGCCACGGCGCACAGCACGGACAGCGAGGCCAACCGCATGGTTACGGCTCTCCCCTAGGTCGACTCAGCCCGAAGGGAAACAGCTCCCGTTTGCTGGTGGGGGTATGTGTTGTTGTGGCTCGTGCTTAGTGACAGTAGTGGTGGTTGACAATGGGTATGGTGGGGATGATGATGATTTCCTGACTACTTCACGTATTCATTCATTGCATCTGACAGCTGCTACGTGGGTGGGCACTTCGTCTACCTAATTCGAAGCCCAGCCCTATTCTAACCTTGACCTGTATTCCTACTCCAACCTGACCCTATACCTAGCTCAACTATAACCCTAGCTCTAGTCGAACCCTAACCTTCAACTCCAGTCCAAAATACGATCCCCAGCCTGGCTCTACGTTATCTTTACCCTAACTGCAGCTCGAACCGTAACCACGACTCCTAAACCAAATCTGTCCCTAACGTGACCCTCTCGCCGCCGTCAGAAGACCCCAAATAACTCTGCCCCCTCGCTCAGCCTCGTCCAGCGACGACAACAACAAGACAACACCACAACTCTTATTATAAACGCCGAACACGCACCACCTCCGCCGGCGTACGGGACCCCAATTTGGCCGAGGGGAGGGGCCCCTCCTGCCGGCCGGGTTTCTAGGAAAGCACCGACGCCTACGGGGCTTCGGCTCGGGCCTAGTCGGCGAATTCCTTTTGTAAAGCGACTGCCGCGGGGAGTTTTATTTTTTTTAACGATTTACAAAGGGAGCAGTTCAGCGAGTTACTTCGCCGAGCGTGCGATCAATGAGGTGTGAGACGACAGAGAGAGAGAGATGCGAGAGAGACGTGAACACACACACGCACGAGTCTGAACACATGCCATGGGGAAGTTAGCGCGGGAATTAACGCGGGGTGGGTCACGTGAGAGCGGTCACGTGAGGGTGGGTCACGTGAGAGCGGTCAGGTTCTCGACGGGTGGAGGGGGGTGAGGTGATTTACGTGAGGTGATTTATAAAACGTGTAAAATGTTATCATACTACTAGTTTATAAAGTCTGTCTTCGCCAGGTAAAAGTTTTCAATAGGTATAATAAATTAGGCTGATGTGATTTTTTTCTCTCTCAAAATGTTATCTACGATCTACATTTTCGACCGCTTGGCGAGACGTTTTACGTGAGGTGATTTATAAAATGTGTAAAATTATATCATAATACTAGTTTACAAAGCCTGTCTTCGCCAGGTAAAAGTTTTCAATAGGTATAATAAATTAGGCTGATGTGATGTTTTTCTCTCGAAAAGATATCTACAATCAGATCACTAACAACTACTCAAAATTTTGTTTTATTTTTCCGCAAAATAAAAATGTGTTGACGACTCGATTTAACTTGTATTTAAAGACGTGCCCATCGGAAACCGCTCAATTTAAAGATTCCGTTATTTTTGTATTAGAAAGAACAAAATTAATGAACTTAATACTCTATGAGGGGAAGCGCTCCTATTTTTTGTTAATCGTTTTCGAATTATTCAGATTTGAACATCATAAAAATGCGTGTTTCTTCGTTTAAAACCTCTTTAATCCGAAATATCTCAAAGACAATAAACGATAGAATAATTATATTCTTGGTTCTTTCGGTAAAGTCAAGTAGAAGGGAAACAATAAAATAAAACCACAGCACCTGATGATGATTGCTTGTGTTGCAGTCGAAACGTCGTGAGAATTTTATTGTTTTATATTTTTATTATTTTATTGTTTCCTTTTGACGTGACTTTACCGAAAGAACCAAGAATATGAATCCCTGCAGTCACGAAAGCTTTCAATCAAAATATATAATACTTTTCTGTGAGTCTATGGGTCTCTGTGTGGGTGCTATGGGTCTCTGTGAGTCTATGGGTCTATGTGTGGGTGCTATGGGTCTCTGTGAGTCTATGGGTATCTGTGTGGGTACTATGGGTCTCTGTGAGTCTATGGGTCTCTGTGTGGGTGCAATGGGTCTCTATGAGTCTATGGGTATCTGTGTGGGTACAATGGGTCTCTGTGAGTCTGTGGGTCTCTGTGTGGGTGCTATGGGTCTCTGTGAGTCTATGGGTCTCTGTGTGGGTACAAAGGGTCTCTGTGAGTCTATGGATCTCTGTGTGGATGCTATGGGTCTCTGTGAGTCTATGGGTCCCTGTCTGGGTGCTATGGGTCTCTGTGAGTCTATGGGTCTCTGTGTGGGTACTATGGGTCTCTGTGGGTCTATGGGTCCCTGTGTGGGTACTATGGGTCTCTGTGAGTCTATGGGTCTATGTGTGGGTGCTATGGGTCTCTGTGAGTCTATGGGTATCTGTGTGGGTACTGTGGGTCTGTATGAGTTTATGGGTATCTGTGTGGGGACTATGGGTCTCTGTGAGTCTATGGGTCCCTGTCTGGGTGCTATGGGTCTCTGTGAGTCTATGGGTCCCTGTGTGGGTACTATGGGTCTCTCTGAGTCTATGGGTCTCTGTGTGGGTGCAATGGGTCTCTGTGAGTCTATGGGTCTCTGTGTGGGTACAAAGGGTCTCTGTGAGTCTATGGATCTCTGTGTGGATGCTATGGGTCTCTGTGAGTCTATGGGTCCCTGTTTAGGTTCTATGGGTCTCTGTGAGTCTATGGGTCTCTGTGTGGGTGCTATGGGTCTCTGTGAGTCTATGGGTCTCTGTGTGGGTACAATGGGTCTCTGTGAGTCTATGGGTCCCTGTTTAGGTACTATGGGTCTTTGTGAGTCTATGGGTCCCTGTCTGGGTACTTTGGGTCTCTGTGGGTCTATGGGTCCTTGTGTGGGTACTATGGGTCTCTGTGAGTCTATGGGTCTCTGTGTGGGTGCTATGGGTCTCTGTGAGTCTATGGCTATCTGTGTGGGTACTATGGGTCTCTGTGAGTCTATGGGTCGGTGTGTGGGTGCTATGGGTCTCTATGAGTCTGTGGGTATCTGTGTGGCTATTGTGGGTCTCTATGAGTCTATGGGTCCCTGTCTGGGTGCTATGGGTCTCTATGAGTCTATGGGTCCCGGTGTAGGTACTATAGGTCTCTGTGAGTCTATGGGTATCTGTGTGGGTGCTATGGGTCTCTGTGAGTCTATTGTTCCCTGTGTATGTACTATGGGTCTCTGTGAGTTGATGGGTCCCTGTGTAGCTACTATGGGTCTCTGTGCGTCTATGGGTATCTGTGTGAGTGCTATGGGTCTCTGTGAGTTTATGGTTCCCTGTGTGGGTACTATGGGTCTCTGTGAGTCTATGGGTCCCTGTGTGGGTACTATGGGTCTCTGTGAGTCTATGGGTCTATGTGTGGGTGCTATGGGTCTCTGTGAGTCTATGGGTATCTGTGTGAGTACTATGGGTCTCTATGAGTTTATGGGTATCTGTGTGGGTACTATGGGTCTCTGTGAGTCTATGGGTCCCTGTCTGGGTGCTATGAGTCTCTGTGAGTCTATGGGTCCCTGTGTGGGTACTATGGGTTTCTCTGAGTCTATGGGTCTCTGTGTGGGTACTATGGGTCTCTGTGAGTCTATGGGTATCTGTGTGGGTACAATGGGTCTCTGTGAGTCTATGGGTCTCTGTGTGGGTGCTATGGGTCTCTGTGAGTCTATGGATCTCTGTGTGAATGCTATGGGTCTCTGTGAGTCTATGGGTCCCTGTGTAGCTACTATGGGTCTCTATGAGTCTATGGGTCCCTGTCTGGGTACTATGGGTCTCTGTGGGTCTATGGGTCCTTGTGTGGGTTCTATGGGTCCCTGTGAGTCTATGGGTCTCTGTGTGGGTGCTATGGGTCTCTGTGAGTCTATGGGTATCTGTTTGGGTACTATGGGTCTCTGTGAGGCTATGGGTCGGTGTGTGGGTGCTATGGGTCTCTATGAGTCTGTGGGTATCTGTGTGGGTACTGTGGGTCTCTGTGAGTCTATGGGTCCCTCTCTGGGTGCTATGGGTCTCTGTGAGTCTATGGGTCCCTGTCTGGGTGCTATGGGTCTCTATGAGTCTATGGGTCCCGGTGTAGGTACTATAGGTCTCTGTGGGTCTATGGGTATCTGTGTGGGTGCTATGGGTCTCTGTGAGTCTATGGTTCCCTGTGTAGATACTATGGGTCTCTGTGAGTTGTTGGGTCCCTGTGTAGCTACTATGGGTCTCTGTGAGTCTATGGGTATCTGTGTGGGTACTATGGGTCTCTGTGAGTCTATGGTTCCCTGTGTGGGTACTATGAGTCTCTGTGAGTCTATGGGTCCCTGTGTAGCTACTATGGGTCTCTGTGAGTCTATGGGTCTCTGTCTGGGTGCTATGGGTCTCTGTTAGTCTATGGGTCCCTGTTTATGTACTATGGGTCTCTGTGTCGGTGCTATGGGTCTCTGTGTGGGTGCTATGAGTCTTTGTGAGTCTATGACTCCCTGTGTGGATACTATGGGTCTCTGTATGTCTGTGGGCCCCTGTGTGGGTACTGTAGGTTGTGAGGCTATGGCTCCCTGTGTGGGTCCTATGGGTCTCCGTGTGATTCAATGTAACACATTGTGAATGTGTATACACCGTTCCGCATTGTATTAACGCGACCGCATCTCAAGGTGCTGGACAGAAACAACGGTCACGTTTATTTTGTAGAGAGAGACAGACAGAGACAGAGAGCAAGCGAGTCAGTCACACGCGGAGGAGCGGAGGAAGATTTTGTCTCTGGACTAGAATAGGGGAAGTCGACATCACGGATAGCGGACAGAGGAACACAGTTTCAGACTGCGGGCACAGCAGAGGAGAACGAGCGACCTCCTATTTATATAGGGTAGTGACCTTGCGAGAGACAGCGGATGACCAGATGCCGATAGCACAATCGTGGAAATATTGTGGTGGGGTGAAGGGGTGGTGGTAGGTGGGGGGGTATTAAAACAAAATATAAACTTTTACCTGAAAAGATTTGCCTAAATAATGAGGAAGCCCTCAGCACGTTATGCAAATTATTGGCTGGTTGGGGGCTTTCCTGCCTCGGGAGGGCTGCAAAAACGGAAGAAATATATATGGGGTTGTTTGCCAAAAAAAGATTAAATCACTCCCCCCCCTCGATCATTCGATGCGGGCTCAGATGTTGGTTAATCTCGCTGGGGGCAAAGCGATCCAACAAAACAACACACCCAGCAGCGGCAGTATCAGAAGGGACAGCAGCCAACTGTGGTGCAGATACACGGAGCGTATTCTCTACGGTGCCGGTGGCGATGGGTGTGATGATGGTAGCAGTGTGGGTGGGTGGCGATGGGCGTGATGATGGTAGCAGTGTGGGTGGGTGGCGATGGGCGTGATGATGGTAGCAGTGTGGGTGGGTGGCGATGGGCGTGATGATGGTAGCAGTGTGGGTGGGTGGCGATGGGCGTGATGATGGTAGCAGTGTGGGTGGGTGGCGATGGGCGTGATGATGGTAGCAGTGTGGGTGGGTGGCGATGGGTGTGATGATGGTAGCAGTGTGGGTGGGTGGCGATGGGCGTGATGATGGTAGCAGTGTGGGTGGGTGGCGATGGGTGTGATGATGGTAGCAGTGTGGGTGGGTGGCGATGGGCGTGATGATGGTAGCAGTGTGGGTGGGGGGCGATGGGCGTGATGATGGTAGCAGTGTGGGTGGGTGGCGATGGGCGTGATGATGGTAGCAGTGTGGGTGGGTGGCGATGGGTGTGATGATGGTAGCAGTGTGGGTGGGTGGCGATGGGCGTGATGATGGTAGCAGTGTGGGTGGGTGGCGATGGGCGTGATGATGGTAGCAGTGTGGGTGGGTGGCGATGGGCATGATGATGGTAGCAGTGTGGGTGGGTGGCGATGGGCGTGATGATGGTAGCAGTGTGGGTGGGTGGCGATGAGTGTGATGATGGTAGCAGTGTGGGTGGGTGGCGATGAGTGTGATGATGGTAGCAGTGTGGGTGGGTGGCGATGGGTGTGATGATGGTAGCAGTGTGGGTGGGTGG